AGAGAGAGCATGAGCAGGGGAGGGGCAGAGAGAGAGGGAGACACAGAATCTCAAGCAGGCTCCAGGCTCTGAGCTGTCAGCACAGAGCCCGATGCTGGGCTCGAACTCACAGACTGTGAGATCATGACCTGAGCCAAAGTTGGACAACGGTTAACCAACTGAGCCACCCAGGCGCCCCATATTTTTTTTAAATTAAAGTGTTTTCTTCAGTTGGTTTGTTACACTTCTGGAGTTCTTAGCATGTGCCACTATGAGGAGCTGGGGGTGGAGCAGTGAACTAGATAAAGACCCTTTCCTCACGGAAGGTCAGTATGTCCTGGAGGGTAGACATTAAGACTTTGAAGCCTTTGAATTTCAACCTAATAATCTTTCTTTTGCTTTCCTACTTATACTGGTATAAAGAATAAAATTAATCTTCAGTTCAAGCAATATTGGTTACTAATTCTTTGCCAGATGGTCCAGTAGACCAGTGTTACCTTCCCTTTATCTATATGCATGAAACTCATTGATAACTAAAAGCTAAATGGCCTTTAAGATCAGAGAAACTCTAAGGTATTCTATAAGACACTTGCTTAGCACTTCAGGTCTCTGCTTTTAGGTTAAGAATTCAGTCTCAAGGATATACTTCTATGGGCTAATGAGGAAAATATTGCCTGAGTAGATAGCCTACCTGGCCAAACTGATTCCGTTATCTAAGAATTTTGTCCTAGTTGTATACTGTAGTAGACCTTGGAGTTGCATAGAATGAGTGAATTTCTAAGTACCTTATGATATTAGATATAGAGGATTTTGCCCAAGTGCATCTAAGACTGTAGAAGTGTGATCTATTTAAAACATCTTATTTTTAGGGATATTATTTTGTACCTTAGTGGCACTGTTTAAATTCTTGAACTGTTTACTCTCTCTAGAACTATTTCCTTAACCAGATTTCTTTTAATACCATTCTTCAGTGCCGTAATAAAACTTCCTGTTCTATTTAAAACAAAATCAAGACAAATGAAAACTTGGTGTTTATTGGGAAGAGAATTCTATCAAAATCCATTTCCTAGATAGTTGTCTAATGTTGACAGATGCCCATGTTACAGAGGCTGTCATTGCCTGTATACAGTTTAAAAATTTTGGTATATTTTAAGTTGTTTACTTTTATTATATAGCTTACATGCTAATTGTGAAAAATTCAAATGGGAAAGAAATAAAGATGAAATATACATATGTATGTAAAATATATTAAGTATGAACAGCCCTTAATCTCATCTCTCCCAGAGATAACAATATGGTACGCAAATTTCAAACTTTTAATTATGGAAATAACCCATGAAATAAGCCATTCTGAACTTTTTTTGGTCTTATATGATGGGCCTCTTTAGAGTCACACATTCTAAATTTTTCTCTTAGAATTGTTATGAATATATGAAAAACATGAGTAGAGGCATGAATCTTGAATGACCATCGCTTCCTGCACTAGTTTATTAGTTTAATAGGAAATAGTAGGGAAGGTTGTGTTCCTCCTTCCCACCCTGTCCCTGTAGGGGTGAGGAGCAGATGGGAGAGGAAAGAAAATTGAAATTGGGGGGAGAATAAGTTTTAACACTGATTTTAAGGGAACTTTGGAGCATCCAGACAGAGATGCTCAGCAGGCGGTGGGAGCTGTGTATTGTTAACCTTAAAAATAAAACTGCCAGTTACTTTACCAACAAAAATTGTTTCTGTAAGCTACATTAAAACCCTAGGCAAGTCTGGAGAACAAAGGAGGAGTAAGCTGTTTTACAGAGGAAAGAGGGAAGTTGGGAGGGCCTTTATAAACCAGAAGTCCATTGTAGTAAACTGGAAGTTCAAGGTGGAGTGGCCCTTCTTTGGCTGAGCTGTGAAGTCTCTTCCTGGCTGGGCTGTTGTGGGGGCGGGGAAAGGAGGAAAATTTCCTACCTCCTGTTGGGACAGGACTTAGTAGCTCAGGCAGAATGGACCTGGAAGGTAGGTCTCTTCTTGTTGGGTCTGCAGCTGACCGCCAGCAGTAGGGACTTGAGAACTCTCCCTGCTGGCCTCCCGGCTCCATTTTAAACGAGGTTTCCTTTTATTTCTTTTCACAATATGGATAGTAGGGAGCTGAGGAAGAGCCGGGGCCAAAGATTTGGACGTTATCAGAGTATCAGTAGTGACTAAAACAGCACACAAGGTGCATGGTTAGTCTGTAGACTAGACTGAGAAACCAAAAAGGCCGAAGATGAAACTTAGGCGAATACCGACATTGAGTGGTGAAGGGCTGGAGAGAAGATGAGAGGAAGCATGAAGAGTGGTAAAGAAGCGAAGTAAAGTTAGAATCCCAAAAAGGGAAGTGGCCATAGGAGTTAGAGCTGAGAACTCACGGGGAGGGGAGGACTGCGTATTGTTCATTGTTGTTGGCAGTTCTTTTTGGCAGAGTTAAGAGCGGTGTCACAGGAGCTGAGGGTTAGAAGGCAGGTAGTAGTTGGTGGTGAGGACATGGCTGCCTTGGCTACCCAGAGAGGATGACTAGAGGGCATAGGGAGTCAAGGTGGGGGATTTTATTCTGCTTCTGAAGATAATAGCGACCGTTTATTAAGCACCTTCCATCTCTGTATACTGTAGTGGGTGCTTTTACGTAGGTTTTCTTGCTCTAAGTTGGGTGCAACCGTTTCCATTTTACCATGAGGTTAAGTAACTTACTCAGGTTTAGGATTCGCAGTGCGGCGAGATTTTAAACCTAAGTCTTTTCAACTCCTATATGCTTTTTGTACATCACACTGGTTCAAAAGATTCAAGAAAGCAGAGCTTCTAAAAACACTAGCAGCACTGGGTTCACCTGGGATCTTTGGTAACATGCAGACTTGTGGCCGCTTGCCTATAGATTCTTGTTCTAAAAACCCAAGAATCTGCATTTTTAGGAAGCATCCTACGGGAGTCTGACACATATCGTTCTTGACTGAAATTTGAAAAACTGGTACAAAGGGATTGAGAAGTTTTCTATCATAGAAAGTTTGTTCTATAAGCCAGCTCCTAAGCCCATGTGCTGTTTTTTTGAGACTTACTGATGTTACTACATCGTTTTGATTTGCCTCTTACATATTTTCACAATGGAAAATTTTGTATTTCTTTTTTATAGTTTCTGGAATGATTAATTGAAGAGCTTTTGAAAGTTAACTTTTCTGATCTCAGTTGCCATATCTGTAAAACGGGCACAAAAATACCTAGTTCAGAGGGCTATTGTGATGAGTTAATGGAATAACGTGGGTATGAGATAGTATAGTGCAGTATCCTGTATGTAATAAGTGCTAATCAAGTGTTAATTGGTCCAAGTTGGGTCTTGCTAATTTTTATGCTCTATTTTATCTCTTTGAATTCTGATGCCTTGGTTTAAACTAATAAGGATATACTTCCTAGTCTTATGGTATTAAAGAAAAACATAACTTGATGTTTTTCTGTCTGCATACTGTCAAACACCTTGGAATCCCTAAGAGTGCTCATCATTGTGCTAGGTAGGCACTGTGGAAGATAAAGAACAATAGTCAACATTTATAAGGTGTGTACTTGGTATCAGGAACTGTGTTGGTAGCTTTCCATGTTATTACCTCATTTATGCTCACAATAAGTGTATGAAGTAGATACTATCCCATTTTATGGATGAGGAAATTGAGATTCAAGAACTTGTCCAAGACCACCCAACTAGTAAGTGATTGAGCTAGGACCAGAACACATGCTCTTTTAAAAGAGTGTCCTTCAAACATTTGCCCAATTTTCTCTTAAAATTTTTGAAAATTTACCATATTCCTTGTGCATTTTAAAACTGACCTAACAGTTTGAGTCCCCTGGGTGGCTTATCGGTTAATCGTCTGACGTCGGCTCAGGTCGCAATCCCATGGCTCGAGAGTTCAAGCCCTGCGTCGGGCTCTGTGCTGACAGCTTTGAGCCTGGAGCCTGCTTTGGATTCTGTGTCTCCCTCTCTCCCCTCCCTCCCCTCCCCCGCTTGCACTCTGTCCCTCTCTAAAGTAAACATTAAAAAAAAATTAAAATTGACTTAACGGTTATGCGTCTGACTTTTGATTTTTGGCTTAGGTCATGATCTCATGGTCCTGAGGTCGAACCCCATGTTGGGCTCTGTTTTGACAGCACGGATTCTCTCTCTCCACTCTGCGTGCGTGTGTGTGTGTGTGTGTGTGTGCGCGCGCGCGCGTGTGCGCACGCGCGGTCTCTCAAAATAAATATTAAAGTAAAATTGAGTTAAAAGGTTTTCATTATAAATTTTGATTAAAACAAAAAAGCAATTCACCCAAGAACATTTGAAAATCTAATTGGCTTTTTTAATCAATACGTGAATCAGTCAGCACCACACCTAGCTTGTATGGGGAGCTCCAAAGTTGTGCAAAAGGTAAGGTTTTTATGGGAAGGAGGGAGGAGGTTGGGGCAAGAAGTTATTAGCAAAAGAAAAGATTGTTTCGGGCCAGAACTTCTTTCCTTAGGGGAGAAGAAGGGAGAGTCTTAGGTGGATTACCTCATCTTCCTCTAGGGGAGAGGATTACCTCCTTGGTTCCAACCAGAAAATCCAGATTGATTGGCTTAAAATTTCACTCTTGGAGAGGTTGAAACTGCAGTTAAGTCTTGATTTGCTGTCCTGGTGGGCTAGTGACGCCACCTTGGCCCTTCGTTTTCTTAACAGCTTAAATAGTTGTAGAGAGTAATCCTGTGTTGTAAATATTGATATAAAAAATATATTTTTTCACCCAGTAGGATCTAAATATCTACCATTATGCATTTGAAAATGCTTGAACAAGCTCTTCATTAATAGTTGGAAATTTAACATTGTATTTTTTCCCATTGAACTCTTATGTTCATCTTCTGCAAAATTTTATCATAACTTATGTATTTTATGCTTCAGTCTTTTATTGATCATGCTGTAATTTCTCTACAGTAAAAACATGTAACTAAACTGAAAGAGATCATATTTTAAAACTTGCTATCAAGCTTTCTTTTGCATTAAGTAAATATTTCCTTATTCCTGTTTTTTAAATATTTATTTTTGAGAGGGAGAGAGAGAGAGACAGAGACAGACCGTGCGAGGAGGAGGGCCAGAGAGAGAGGGAGATGCAGAATCTGAAGCAGGCTCCAGGCTCTGAGCTGTCAGCACAGAGCCCAGTGTGGGGCTCGAACTCACGAATCGGAACAACATGACCTGAGCTGAAGTCAGATGCCTAACTGACTGAGCCATCTAGGTGCCCCTCCTTATTCCTTTTAATTCCCATTTTAATTCCTTTAATGATTTCTTCACTTTCTGTTTTTTGAGTTTTAGAGTGGTCTTCTTAGTAGTTCTCTAGGCCTTACCATATTAATCTTATCAGTATTTCCTTCAGGTAATCCTTAGGCTTTAAGTGTTAAGATTTTTCCTTTGGATTGTGTTGTTATAAGTGTGCAGTTGATCAAAACGATATGAATATGTTTGAAAAATTAAACTTAAAAATTTCTCTTGGAAATACCTTTCTTAATGATGTGGCTAGGTGGTTTTCCTCCTCTTCCCTGATTAGCTTATGCATCTATAGATGAATATACTTAACTAGAATTTGATAGGGCTCATTATAAATTTCATTCCAAGTTTTTGAAATAGTTATAAGCTTGACAAATGCTGATGTCATAAAGAAATAGATGAGACTTGAAGGGATTTTGCAGTAGCAACATCGCTTAGTTCTTTGAGTGCCATACCAAAAATATGTATAAGATAGGGAAACAATAGCAAACTTAATGCTGGTCCTGCCTGGAGATTTTTATACCCTGGGCGGTGCACGAAGGAGGATTCAGGAAGGGAAAAGGTAGGCCTTTTTGGCTAAGTCGGGGCAGGGAGATTGTACAAGGGAATACAGGAGAGGCGATCCAACATGGTGCCACCGTTAAGTACTCTTCTCAGGAAGATCAATCAGCTTTAGAACAGAATATATTTGGAATGTGAGCACCTGGATGTGTTTACCTTAAAACAATCCATGCCCGGGGTGCCTGGGTGGCGCAGTCGGTTAAGCGTCCGACTTCAGCCAGGTCACCATCTCGAGGTCCGTGAGTTCGAGCCCCGCGTCAGGCTCTGGGCTGATGGCTCAGAGCCTGGAGCCTGTTTCCGATTTTGTGTCTCCCTCTCTCTCTGCCCCTCCCCCGTTCATGCTCTGTCTCTCTATGTCCCCCCAAAAATAAATAAACGTTGAAAAAAAAATTAAAAACAATCCATGCCCAAGTACTCTTCAGAAAGTCTGTAAGATTACACAAACACCAGCATGGAGAAAGCCTTTTAAAGTGGTAACCTCCGATGACAAAACACGAGCCAGTCCAAATCTCAACATTCAGTGTTAGGTTGGTAGCAAAGAATTATGACACTGCGGTTACCATGGCACGCAGGAAATACCACATGTATAAACTGGCATTTAGTGAACGTGTGTTATTTTAATTTAATTTAAAAAGTACATTATCAAGAAATACATTTAATTATTCTGCTACCTATATTTACATCCATCCTGTCTTCCTTCTGTTGTAATCTGGTTTGCCTTACCACGCTATTGAAATTGCTCTCACTGGGATCACCAGTGGCCTAAATATCACAGAATCCGGTGGACATTTAAAAATGTTTGGCCTCTTGTTACCTTTTGTTGCCCGGGAGCCCTCTTTTTATAATGGTCTTTCCGTGATTTTCTGGGAACGTAAGACTTGATTTTCCTTCTACTTCTGTTTGCTTTTTTCTAGTTTGCTTTGCAGGTGCCTCTTTCATAAACCAGTTCTTAGTTCTTAAATGTTGGGGTGCTTATCAGGATTCTGTTGTAGGCCTCTTATCATCTAACTCTACCTAAGTTTCCAAAGGCCGTCTCTCATCACCCTAGGGCTTCAGCCCAGGTGGCTCGTCTGATATCGAGACCAGAATAGCCAGCTGCCTCTTCGACGTCTCCACCTAGATGTCTGCTCTTGGAAACTGAACTTCTCCGCTTCCTCTAACCTGCTTCTCCAGGTTTTTTCAATGTAAATAGCACTGTCTAACCAGTTGCCCAGGTCAGCACCCTGGGAGTCATCCTTCAGTCCTTTTTTTTTTTTTTTTTTTTTTTTTTTTTTTTTTTTTTTTTTTTTTTTTTATTTCTCATGATGCCAATTCTACTTCCTAATATACTACAAAAATCTGTCCACTTCTAACCACCCTCAGTGTCACTGTCCTCGCCAAACCAATTTCCCTGGCTTCTCTTACTCATAACAACCTTTCTGCCTGAATTTTGCTTTCCTCCAATACATGCTTGGTGTGGTGGCAGAAGTGGTTCGCTAAAAGTTCCAATCTCATCTTGGTCCCCTGCTTAAAATCTTTCAATGGTTTCACTCTGCTCTTGAGATAAATGTCAGACTCTTGAACATGAATTACAAGGCTGTTTGGACTCCCTCTCCCTTATCTATGTAGCTTTATCTTTGGCTCCTCTCCCTAGCACACTGCACTAGAGTCTAGAGTAACTTTTCCTTTTCAAAAAGTCTTGCGTCTCTGACCTCTGCCTTCTCTGAATCCTTGCACACGCCGTAGTCTGTGTGGACCCCTTTGGTTAACTCCTCAGCCTTCTCTGGTCTCACTTTGCAATAGTACTTCCTCTGGTGCCAGGTTGGGTTCTATTATATGCTCAAATACTACAGTGTATTTCCTCTTTCATGTAGCTCATCACATCTTAATTATGTGTGTCTTCCATGGTAAGCTATTCAGTAAATTTCGTGAGGATGGGGAGTCTTTATCTTGGACTCTGCTTTCTTTTTCTTTTCATTTTTTTAAAAATAGTTTTTAAATTTTATTTTTGAGTGAGCGAGCACGAGCAGGGGAGGGGCAGAGAGAGAGGGAGACGCAGAATCTGAAGCAGACTCCAGGCTCTGAGCTGTCAGCACATAGCCTGATATGGGGATCGAACTCCTGAGCCGTGAGATCATAACCTCAGCTGCAGGTGGACGCTTAATCGACTGAACCACCCAGGTGCCCCCTCGACTCTGCTTTCTTAATCCCTGGTGTCTGACACCTATATGAGCATATTTAGCATCTTTGAGTAAGTTACCAATTTGGAATTCTTGTCCCTGTGATTTCAAAATGTACATGTTTTTTCTTTTTAGTGTCTCAATGAGATCCTGGAGTCGGCAGATGCGCCTTTAGAAGTCACTGAAGGATTCATACAGTCCATTTCTCTGTCAGTTCCATGGGGCTCCTTGCTACAGGATAATTGTGCACTGGAAGTGAAAGGGCTAGAAATGGTCTTCCGGCCTAGACCTCGCCTAGGTACGTGTGTTGTGTTTGTTTGATTTGTTTCTATTTGTATTCCTCAGAGATTGGGAAAGTAACCTAATTGTATTAAATTCAGTATTTAATTTATTACTTAGCATTGTATTTGTGAGCTTTTCAGTAGATAAAAATATTAGGACTTGGGTGTGTGTGATTTTACCTTTAGGATTACTTCTCGCCCTATTTACCTGCAGGAACTTTGGTATAATGATGATTTGGTTTAATTATTTGTTACTGATTATCTAAAGTGACTCGTGTTTTAAAGATTCGGAGTATTGTGCCAGAAAGAAAGGAATTGCTCAAAGATTGATGGAGAAATGTTAAAAGGACACAGGATTGGGCTTTAGGGGCTCTCATTGGCCAAATCTGGGAATACTTGAGTAAACAAAGAATAATGGCAATAATGGATTATAGCACACTAAATTAAAACAAAATTTCTCTTTAAGTTTATATTGTTATAAATAAGTAATCAGTATGTAAGAGAGGCAGGAAGAAGGGAAAGGTCTTTATTGCAGTAGGATACCTAGTTCATAGAGTAGAAAAAGATGATAGACCATAACCATGTTTTTGGCCACCATGGCAAAAAAACAAAAAAACAAAAAAAAAACAAAAAAAAAAGCACTTGATACAGGTGATAATCATCAATGAATTCTAACATCGTTTGGTGAAAGTTGTTGAGGAGCTTTATATTTAGATGGTATCAGCATACCTCCCATCGATTACATATTATTTACAAAGAGAAAAATGTTTCTTTCACAATGAAAGAAATTGACAGTCATCACAACAACCTAGTGATCAAACTTAATCTCATTGGTAGTGGATCAAACCGACATCATGTGTGTCCTGATGTGATGGCTGAGGAGGACACATCATATATGTACCGTTCCTGTTAAAAGTGCTTAATCTGAATCAGATTATAAGGAAGAAGGCAGACAAATCCAAAATAAGGAAATTCTACAGACTCACTGGTTGGTAGTCTTTAGAAGTATCCGTATCACGAAAGACAAGAAAGGTGGAGGAATTGTTCCAGATTAAAAAGACTAAGACACAAATAACTGCAATAGTTAATCCTGTGTTTTTGCTTTTGCTACGAAGGATGTTACTGAGACAGCTAGGGAAATTTGGGTGTGGCCTGTAAGGAAGATAATGTTTTGCCAGGGTTATGTTTCTTGGGAGTGTTATCCTTACTGAGCTTTTGCTGGGGAATGTTCATTGTATTCTTAGGAGTTGTATGCTCAAATATTTAGGAGTGAGTGTTAGGATGCCTGAGGTTTACCTTCAGATAGTTCAGCAAAAGGATGAGAGTTTGTGTGTATTTGTGTGTGTGTGACACAGTCATGATGAGTCTAAGTGAAGGCTGTGTGGGTGTTCATGGTACCATTCTTTCACCTCTTTCTTAGGATTGAAAATTTTCAAAAGAAAACTTGGGGAGGGAAAAGCTTTAAAGTGGTAGTAAGTCATTATTTACAAGTACGCGTGTGTGGTATAGCTTTAATTACCTGCGTGATGTTTTCTGATGTATCCAACGTGTATAGTGCTTCTTAGATGCCACATACTGTTCTAAATGCTGTACAAATATTATTTTATAATAGCTCTTTGAAATAGATATTTTTTATTATCTCCATTTTACAGAACAGGGAATTGAAGCAGAGGTAGATTCCAGACTTGTCCAAGGTCACGGCTAGTTAAGTGGGAAGATGGGATCTGAACCCAGGCAACCTAGTTGTGGAGTCCCTGTTCTGAACCACCGTGTGATGTTGTAGCTTAAGATTTTCTACTTCGGAGTGTGTGTGTGGCGTATGTGTATTTTCTAAACCAATAGAGTCGTGACGTGAATCATCTTAAATTCTGAATTTAAATTCTTTCAGTGGCAAGTGATGTTTAACAAGATATACCTGGCGGATTATAAGCCCAAGTGCTGTCCGGAACACCAAAGTTTAAAGTGTACTTCCTGGAATCAGTGGCACCTGTAGTTTGAAAATTGGTAGTCTGTGCATGGAAGTCCTCCTTGATAATGGCATTTAATTAACAGTAATATTTTTTTAACCATGATGACTAGATATAATAGTACTTTCCCTGTGGAAAGTCAAATATTCTCCCTTACTTTAAAAATATTCCATGAGAAGGGCTTTTAAATTCCATTTTTGGAAGGCAAGAATTCTAGTGATCTCTGTCACTTTGTTTTGGATAACGTAAGAGAGTGTGGTGCAGCTCTCTGATGAGGGAAGATCTAGAAAGGATTTTTCCCAGTTCATCTATCCCTCCAAGGATGCTTTTCTATCTTGTCTACATTTCTACTCCCCTTCCAGAGCCTCGGCCGAGTACCAGCTCTGCCAGATTTCTTGTTACATTCTGTCAGTGAGAAGAATTAACCTCTCGATTCAGCTGTGTTTTCTGTTGACACTGCATAGTTGCTTACTAATTCATCTTAACCGCAACATATTTCTTCTATTATATTGTAGGCTCTGGGAGGGCAGAATTAATATTTTTTGGATCCCTTACAGCAGGGTCAGCTAACTCTGGCCTGTAGGCCAAATTTGGTCTGTCTTATTTTTGTAAATTGGTGTAGGAACACTACCATACTCGTTCATTTATTCTCTCTGCTGCTTTTGCACCAGAGTGAGAGAGTTGAGTCATCACGGTGGAGACCAAAGGACCCACAAAACCTGAAATCTGTACCGTCTGACCCTTGCCAAAGAAGTTTGCTGACCTCTATTCTATAGACTTTTAAACAGTACCATGCATGCATTAAATACTTGTTGAACGAATTCGCGAATTAACATTTGGCAGATGTGTATCATTTAATGAGAACACAGGTCTCTGGACATGTGTTCTGTGATCTTTTATTTTTTCTTCCCAGTTATTATAAGGTGGTGGTTGAATCTCTTGCAAGAGTGATTTCTAGAGTATTTATGCCTAGGGAACATCATGATGCTAAATATCTCTTAGAGGATTAAGAATTCACTTATTTCAAATGTGGCATTTTACGAAATGGCTTTGTTGGAACTATGAGAAGATATTTAGAATTCATCTATATTTTCTGCAGCAACTGGTTCTGAGCCTATGTATTGGTCAAGTTTCATGACCAGCAGTATGCAGTTGGCAAAAGAATGTCTTAGCCAGAAATTAACGGATGAACAAGGAGAAGGATCCCAGCCTTTTGAAGGACTTGAAAAGTTTGCTGAAACCATTGAAACAGGTTTGGCATTATTGAATATTTTCAAAAATTTTAGATTTTTGTTTTGTTTTTAGTATATTAGTACCTTTTATTTAGTAAGTCTCACATAAGGTAAATCCGTTGGAGTGATTTGTTTTTATTTTTTTTTAATTTTATTTTATTTTTTAACGTTTATTTATTTTTGAGACAGAGAGAGACAGAGCATGAATGGGGGAGGGACAGAGAGAGGGAGACACAGAATCGGAAGCAGGCTCCAGGCTTTGAGCCATCAGCCCAGAGCCCGACGCGGGGCTCGAACTCACGGACCGCGAGATCGTGACCTGAGCTGAAGTCGGACACTTAACCGACTGAGCCACCCAGGCGCCCCTGGAGTGATTTGTTTTTAAACAGAATTACTGTTCTCACTTCAAAACTTTAGAATTGAGGTTATTTTAAATATTGTATCTGATTTAATTTCATGTCCTTTGTGTCCTAGTTTCTCCTGTTTATTTTATTGTGCTTGCGTAAGGGATTTTAATTCAACGGAGAGTGTTAGCTGTACCCAAGTGTCTGTTGAGATATGACATAGTAGGTGCTCAGTAAGACAAAATATTTATTACCAAACTTAAGGTTTGGGGATCTTTAAGGAAAGAAATACAACTTTTTTATTTTGTATTCCTTTCATTAGAAGTTTTTATTGAGTATACATATGGTCTCATGTTGACGGTGACCTGTTTACTCTAGTGCTAAGAAGAGTAAAAGTCACTTTTATAGACACTGTCTTGAGAATCGAACACGTGCCAGAAAATTCCAAAACTGGAACTGCACTTGAAATTCGAATAGAAAGGTAAGACTTCTTATCTCTGAGAATAAATGACCCTATTCTTTTCTTGTATAAATGGTAAGATCTAAGTCTTGCATTAGATTTTATGATGCTTTTAGAGATTAGAGGTGATGCTGTTAATACATTGTATGATTTCACAGTAAAGCACTGCTCTCCAAGATATGTTCTAATCCCATTATTGAAAACTTAAAATGCCATTTGGGGTATAATTTGTATATAATACTGAATTCAAAGCAAATGGTTCTCTTTTTAGTTAGTATCAAATAAAAATCATGAATAGTTGAGCGCTGCTGAATTTAAGGCACTCCTGTTGGAGTTTTTTCATGTGAGCGATGTGTTTTTTTGGCATGTCTCATTAGTATGAGGGGCTTTTTTGCTTTCCTTTGCTTGGTCTAAGTGCTGCTTTGCATGAAAAAGCTGCTGCTGTTTTCTTTGAGGATTCTGTGAGAGTAGCTTAAAGTCAATATGTGTGATAGTGATTTCCTTATAAATATAGAAACCAGCACTTAGTTTTGTGTTTTTGCCCACTTGGAACTTTCTAAGCAGCTCTGAAACAGAGATTGATTCATGTACACACTTTTGAGTGTTGATTTGAGGTTGTCACTGTTCGTGTGTGTTTTAATGTGCTACGAATGCCTGCAGAAACACACGGGATGAAATATATACACCGAGCACCAAAGACACTTAGTGCTCAGTATACGGCTCTGTCGTATACAGATCTGCTGGGGGCTTTTGCCAGATTTTGAGCAGATACGGTTTCTGTCTTTCACAAAACATCATACGTATTAGTGAAACGGTTATTTTTTTTTTAATATTCATTTATTTTTGAGAGAGAGCGAGCTTGAGCAGGGGAAAGGCAGAGAGAGAGGCACAGAGAGAGAATCCCAAGCAGGCTCCACGCTGTCCGTGTAGAGCCTGATGTGGGACTCGATCTTGCCTACTGTGAGTCCATGACCTGAGCCGTTAATCAGGAATTGGACGCTTAACCCACCGAGCCACCCAGGTGTCCCGTGAAAGTTCTTGTCAACAGAATTTTGAAATTAGGTTGCATTTCCCTGAAATGGTACATTAAAAAGCTACTGAAATCTCACACACGTAGAACTACTTTCTGTATTTCGTTTAAACTGAACTCCTGGAATGAACAGTCGGAAGAGTTCAAGAAATGCCATTCATGTCAGACACGTGCCTTGGAGCCAAGATGGGTTTGTGAGGGAGCACAGGGATTGTTTTCCTGGAGGCGAACTTTAGGCAGTTATTAATCCCGTCTCCCCCCCGCCCACCCCCCGCCAGCTTAGGACCCCCTAAAATTACCCTTCCTGTGGCTGAGGTCTCTTGGTGAAAACGTTTTCCCGTAGTAAAGCACCGTAATGCTGACCACGTTACCTTTTCTCATTTTCTCAGTTGTGCTAACACTTGAACAATCCTTTAAGTGAAAAGGCTGTGTGTGTTTCTTAGGCTCGCAAGTAGGTTTTCTCCAGAGTGTTGTGCAAATGCTCTTGTTTTGAACGTGCAGGACCGTGTACTGTGACGAAGCTGCTGACGAGTCCGCAGGAATGAACGTGCATCAGCCTACAGCGTTTGCGCACAAGTTGCTGCAGCTCTCCGGAGTGGCCCTCTTCTGGGATGAGTTTTCTGCGTCAGCAAAATCCTCCCCAGTGTGTTCAACTGCACCAGTGGTAAGAAAAACCAAACAAAAAACCAAACGCTAAATCCTGGATTTGTAAAAGGTTTAAATGGGGGCTATTAGGTTTTGCTGGGGTATACAGATCCATCTGATCTGGAAGTTAACACAAATATTCAGTGATGCCTACCTTTTGGGGTTTTTAAAATACTCCTATTTACGATTGATGCCTTTCCTACCTGTGAGGTATATAACATAGGATACTGTGTTTTGGGGGAAAGTGGTATGATGACCGCGAATACCCTTTTATGATAAAATCCCAAGCGGTGTTCACATTACCTCACATAATGAATAGTGCTGAAAACTTACAGCTTAAAAGGGTTTTATAATTAAGAACTTTTTATTAATCCTTTCTGAGAGTAGAGAGTCCTTTCATAAATCAGTCCTTCCATAATTCATCTTTTGCATTGTTTCAGATTTTCATGATTACAGAATGTCTATTTTTTCTTATTGCTATAATTTGAATAGATACTGTGCTTTTTTTCCATGAAGTCCTTTTCCATGATTTGCCTTTATTACTACTGTTTCATGCTAGCTATAAGATACTGGCTTATTCATGGTCACGTAATAAGTTTTTCATGTCAAATATTTTACTCTTATGCTGACATTTGTATTTTGCATTTCAGTTTATTTACACTAAGGTATTTTAAAGAATTACTTTATTCTTTTCTTTAATTTTATTTTTTGTTTTTTAAAACTTACATCCAAATTAGTTAGCATCTAGTGAAACGATGATTTCAGGAGTAGATTCCTTAGTGCCCCTTCCCCATTTAGCCCATTCCCCCTCCCACCACCCCTCCAGAAACCCTCAGTTTGTTCTCCATATTTATGAGTCTCTTATGCTTTGTCCCCCTCCCTGTTTTTATATTGTTTTTGTTTCCCTTCCCTTATGTTCATCTCTTTTGTCTGTTAAAGTCTTCATATTAGTGAAGTCGTATGATTTTTGTTTTTCTCTAATTTCACTTAGCATAATACCCTCCAGTTCCATCCACGTAGTTGCAAATGGCAAGATTTCATTCTTTTTGATGGCTGAGTAATACTCCATTGTGTGTATGTGTATATATATATATATGTGTATATGTGTGTATATGTATATATATATATATACACACACACACCACATCTTCTTTATCCACCCATCCATAGGTGGACATTTGGGCTCTTTCCAGACTTTGGCTATTGTCAATAGGGCTGCTATAAACATGGGGGTGCATGTGTCCCTTCGAAGCAGCACACCTGTATCCCTTGGATAAATGCCTAGTAGTGCAATTGCTGGTTCGTTAGGGTAGTTTTAGTTTTAGTTTTTTGAGGAACCTCCATACTGTTTTCCAGAGTGGCTGCACCAGCTTGCATTCCCAAGAATTATTTTATTCTTATTGCCTCATTGTAGGAAACTGAGCCAAAGCTGTCACCTAGCTGGAATCCCAAAATTGTCTATGAGCCACACCCACAACTAACTAGAAATTTACCAGAGATGGCACCCTCTGACCCAGTGCAGATTGGAGGGCTGATCGGTAGGTTGGAGTTGAGTCTCACGTTGAAACAGAATGAAGTACTTCCTGGAGCTAAGGTAAGTGTTTGTTTTATTTTCTATAGTAAAACAAAACAAAAGTACAAGCATTCTTTAATCTGTGCAGTGGTCTCACCGATTGGTCACTGGATTGTCCTGTAACTAGGGTGCCCACTGTCCTGGAGTCAGCATTCTTACTCTCCGCTGGGGCCTCTGTCCTCCCGTCTTAAGACTCACGTGAGGACTGCCTTTGCCCTTCTGCTGCTGCTTGGGTTTAGCACTGTCTCCTACACTCACTTTCCTGCACTCGAGCGGTTCAGAAACATTCGTTAGTTCAGAAACTAGCAATTTATTAAGGAATCTGTTATCACAAAATTAAGTTTAGGAGAAGAGATTTGGAAAGCAAGAAGTTGACTGTAGAAGGTGCTTAATTGTATGCATGTAAAAATGCCCACCTTTGTGCGTTTTGAACAGAATGACTGTTTTTATGTTGTGGAATATTTATGAAAAGAGATTGATTCCCCCCCCCCCCCCCCATGGTAACTCATGGCTTTTGTAGAGCTTGTAAAGACAACACCTGTTTTGTAGGGAGCAGTATTGGGCGGTCTGCTGGGGAATCAGGAAGCTTGTGTTTGTGTAGCTGGTTAAAAACGTATTTGTGGCATGTTATTTTCAAACTTTGAAAGCTAATTTGCTATATAATCTGTGTAAAATGTAGTTTAAATTAAGAAGATGTCAGGATTTAGTCATTTTACTCACTGTGCTAACTAGCTGTAGGTGTTTGAGTGCTGTGTGCCAGGCCCTGTGCAACTGCTCGGGGAGATGCAAAGAAGAGTGGAATACTGTCTTCACCTTAATACAGCGTATAATGAGAGCTATAGAGATTGCTGGGGGGAGGGGCATGGGAGAGGGAGCAACTGAGTGCACGTGAATGCACGTAGGATTTTCAGAGGATTGAAGGATCTCCAGCAACCCGTCCTTGGGTTGGCACTCCTGGCTAGAGGTGGAGGCAGGGGAAGGGGATAATCAGAACCTCAGCCTTCCTATTTCTGAGGACTCCCTCTCCTTTGTTTAGTGCTCCGTCCTACCCTAGGTGCTAGGACCTCCTTTCTCCAGTTCTTAAAAGCCTCTTCATAAAATAACACGAGAAAGCTGTAGGTGTGTTTAAACCCTCAGGGAATCCCCCGATGTGCTAAAACCCTTGGGAAACTAACACACTCCTGCCTCTGGGAGGGGTGGGGGGGGTGCATTTATTCTTTCCCTAAGAAGGGAGAACCATAGTAACTTTTATAGTTCTGTTTTGATTAAATATAGTTTTCAGCATTTATATACTTGATCTTTGGGCAGACCCAGACTTTTGCACACTATGTGTTGATTTGCATAAGTTCCTTTTCGATGTTGCTTTTGGACATCTGTGTATTAGGTGACAAATAACACCTGGAATCACTGCATGAGGGTATGATTGCCAACCAGTGTGTGATATTTGGGGATCTTACTCTCCTCGCCTATATGGTAATTGTTTTTGCGGTAGTAACTTGATTTTTGAGTACATATTGTTCTTATTTAATGAAAATGAAGACTAAATGGAGAAATAAAAGTTCTAGATGTTAGCATTGAGAAATGTAAATCTCATGAACAATACAGTGTAGACAAAGATGGCATCGGTTAGGGGTGCTCAAAGTGCCCGATCTTTAGTCCCTCTGATGTTCATTAGACCCACGTCTTTCAACTGTGAGTTCAAAATGTTATGAAAGATATTTTATGTTATTTTATTATTTATTTATTTATTTATTTATTTATTTATTTATTTATTTATTTAAGTTCTCTGAGACTGGTACCCACCCCAAATAGGGTGTAAGCCTTATGGTTCACATACTCAGTTTTAGCATGTACTTTCAGGAATGTGCTATCTAAGAACATAGAGGACTTGTATGTATTGAATTTATAGAGATTTCATTTCAGTTACCGTGTCATATGGAGTTTGAAATTATTTGACTTTATTTTTTAACTTTTGTTAAAGTTTGTTTATTCGGAGAGAGAGAAAAAGCATGAGTGGGGGAGGGGCAGAGAGCCAGAATCCCATGCTGGTTGGGGCATAGTGCCCCAGCACTTAAAAAAGCAAAAACAAAAAGTGATAGCGATGATTGTTATTATTGGAGAATGTTATTATATTCTCAGATCATGGACATTTCTCAGAGTTACTATATAATACAATATTTTTTGTTTTTAGAATCAGAGGAAATTTGTTTTTTCCCCTGGGGAAGGTGCCATTTTCCAGATATAAATGTATTTTATTAATTGAATTCCTTTTAAATTGCAAAATGGCATAAAGATAATGGGAGTGTTAGCATTAGGACTAAGAGGAGGTGAATGAAAAGTAAGGCGGCCATAGCATATTCAACTTTTTAGAATGTGGTGTAGAGAGTGGAATAATTGTTTTTGTCAGAATATACTCCACGGGAATCAAGACGGGACTGGGTGGGCTCTTATTTCTAGGAGGAAAATTGGACAAAGACTTGGAAAAGAGCAAGGCAGTTCACCTGATCGCCCAACTCCATTGGCATCTCTGCTGTGGCTTATGCTTTCCTACCTAGCGGGGGGGAGTGGGCTTTGTGGAATACGGGGCATCTGGAGAGGCACGCTGCTGATAGGGAAGTGTCCCCAAGTGCTGTGCTAGCAAGTGGGCAAACTTGGGAAAGCCAACTTTATTTGCTATTGGTGTGACTCCAGCTTTGAGGATTACGACTCGAGTCTTGACGTCCTGCTGGGAAGGAAAACTGTACTACTAACTTGATATTCTTTCTTAGTGGCTGTGTCTTAAGGCCTCAAATACCTTAAATACTCTATAGTAAGCTTACAGAGACAAAAAGTGTGACGTTGGACTTGCCAACATGGAATTTCTCGGGAGGATTTCCCCTCTTAGAACAACGGTTTGATGGCCTATAAGTCTTTTTATTTAGATTGTGTGAATTTGTGGATGGAATCTTAGGTAAAAGAATTTAAGACTGACTAATCTGTATTGATCTCTGTGCATTAAAGTATACTGGGGTTTGTGGTGATGAGGTTTTAAGAGTGTTTATCCTGAGTGGTTTTGTTTTTGTTTTTTGTTTTGAAGTTGGATATTGATGGACAGATAGACTCTATTCACCTATTCCTGTCACCGAGGCAGGTGCACTTGCTTTTGGATATGTTAGCAGCTATTGCCGGACCAGGCAAGTATGGCAACGGGTTACTCTGTTATTATTTTTAACTTTGAAATTTTTTAGTTAAGATCAAAGATTCTATGATTTCTAGCTAGCTGCTTAAAACTACTGCATAGGTCTCTGATTAATATTAAATAGTGGTAGTTCTGAATTGACTGGCATGAAGTTGCTGTTAGTATTGAACAAGTGGGTTTTGGGAGAGAGATGATTAACTCCAGATTTAATTACTGTTTTGCTTTCCTTTGCTTTCCTTTCTATACTTCCAGAAAATTCTAGCAAAATAGGATTAGGTAATAAAGATAGAAAAAGCCGACCTATGCAGCAGGAAGACGAATATCGAATTCAGATGGAATTAAACCGGTATTATTTGAGAAAAGATTCCCTCTCCGTGGGTGTATCTTCAGAGCAAAGCTTTTATGAGACAGAATCTGCTCGGACACCTTCTAGCCGTGGTAAGCAACTAAAACCGTTGACACTAGATTCCTACGATGTCATCAAAGAGCAGAGTAAACAATTTGGCTGTTGTGAAATGGAGTTTAGTAATGAAAGAACCAAAGAGCTGTGCTATGAGAAGGTTTCAGTTAGTAAGTTGATCTAACCATGTCATTAATTACAGTGATGCACTGGCACATGGACCTTTTTTTTGATTGTGCAATCTTGTTTCATAAGTCATGATTGATTCTGTTTTTTTTATTCTAAGGATAGTCATTTCACAAAAATGCACACACAAAAGATAAATTGGGGATAATTATTCATTTTGTCAAATTCTTACATACTTGTATAATGACTTATGGCAGATTCCTTTAGGAACCTTTCTCTACTCTTCTATCAATTATATGTAAATATAGTCTTTACCAAGTAAACCTGGCATTTATAGGTGTTTTACAATGTTTATTTAAGCACTAATACCTTAAATAATAAGAATCACTTTAAATACAGAATGTTGAACTAAATAAATTAAAAACTAAGAAATTAAAGTGTATTCAAGCAATTTTGGCCATAACAAACTTCATTCGCCTCAGGGTGAAACAACCTCCAGAAAGAAGAAAGTGAAAGGTAAATAGAATTCCAAATGATATATTCAGGTTTGTTTTTAAAGAAAAAGCTGTATCCATATGAAACCAGATATCGCAAGATCTTCATACTATTTTAAAGTTGGGTTTTAACTCCTAAACTGTCACATGACACCTAAAAATATACCATGTAGTACATGTCATATATTTGGAAAAAAAACAAAAAACCACAAAACAAGTTCCCCAGTAGGATAGCATAACTTTTGTTAACTTGTATTTGGTCGAGTTTTTATTATGCCATTTATATCTTGGATCCAAATAAAGTACCCTACTGGAAGTAATGTAAACTTTGGGGCATCGCCGTATTGCAGATAATCTGAAGGAAGAATATGATATTAATACATGTTAACTTACTATAAAGACATGAATTACACCATTGACAAGGTTTAATTCTCTCTAGAAGAAGAAGTTTTCTTCTCCATGGCTGATATGGACATGTCCCATAGTCTCTCTTCTCTTCCACCCCTTGGAGACCCTCCAAATGTGGACCTTGAGTTGTCGTTAACTAGTACATATACAAATACTCCAGCAGGATCTCCATTAAGTGCTACTGTGGTAAAGTATTATTTAATTGTTACTCTCGGCTTGAAAAGTGGCTTCTAAAATTCTACGCTTTATTCATGTGATTAAAAAAAAATTCTTTTACAGCTTCAGCCAACGTGGGGAGATTTCCTTGATCATCATAAAGAACAGCCAGTAAGAGGGTCAGCATTGCCATCCAACCTGGCGCCCCCACCAGCTTTACAGAAAACTTGTACGTAGCATAAGACATTTGTTGATAGTGCCACTAGAATTTTAAAAAATTTAAAAATTAAAACACATTGTTTCTTTCTGGAAAATGCCATTCTGCCGCTGCTTTTCTTTCCCTTCAGAAGATTTTCTTTTGATCTAGGCCATTTAACCAAATTTAGAAAGAAAATGTGAACTTGTAGTCTTTGTGTATTTAAATATTTTTATTAAAAAGTGCGTGTAAGTTTCATATTATTATCGCAGCTTAGGCGTCTCACCCACCATCTGACGCTTTTCTTGAAAGAGAACCTCAGGTTTGAAATAGACACGAGGCTTACAGGAAAATTTGAGCAACTTGTGGTTGATCTGTGACTTTTCCAATACAGTTTTATCACTGCAAAAGTTTTGTTTCCATGTGTGTGTATTTTTTTTTTTTTTAAGATTTATTTATTTACTTAGAGCACGAGCAAGGGTGGAGCAGAGAGAGAGAGAGAAGAGAGAATCCCAAGCAGGCTCCACTGAGCCTGATGCCAGGCTCAGTCTCACAACCGTGAGGTCATAACCTGAGCCAGGATCAAGAGCCAGCTGCTTAACGGACTGAGACACCCAGACTCCCCATTGTTGTTGTTTTTAAGTTTTATTTAATCTCTGCACAGCGTGAGGCTTGAACTCATAAACCTGAGATTGAGTCCCGTGCTCTACCGACTGAGCCAGCCAGGCATCTCCATCTGTGTATCAAGGATCCAGGATATAAAATGCAGAGAGTTAACAGTTTATCTTGTTTAACATCAAATATCATTCAAACTGTCGTGTGATCACCTGCTTTTTAAAACTAACACAAGTAGGGGAGCCTGGGTGGCTCAGTCGGTTAAGCGTCCGACTTTGGCTCAGGTCATGATCTCATGGTTTGTGAGTTCGAGCCTCGCATTCGGGCTCTGTGCTGACAGTTCAGAGACTGGAACCTGCTTTGGGTTCTGTGTCTCCTACTGTCTCTGCCCCTCCCCCACTCTCTGTCTCTCAAAAAATAAACATTAAAAAAATTTTTTAAACTAACACAAGTAGGGGCGCCTGGGTGGCGCAGTCAGTTAAGCGTCCGACTTCAGCCAGGTCATGATCTCGTGGTCCATGAGTTCGAGCCCCACGTCAGGCTCTGGGCTGATGGCTCAGAGCCTGGAGCCTGTTTCCGATTCTGTGTCTCCCTCTCTCTCTGCCCCTCCCCCGTTCATGCTCTGTCTCTCTCTGTCCCAAAAATAAAAAAAGTGTTGAAAAAAAAAATTTTAAAAATAAACTAACATGAGTAAATGTTTTATAATTTTGGTACAATGGATTATTTTTAAGTATTTTATGTATCTCATTTTAACCCATGTGTTCCAGCTCTCCCATCTAGATCTGTTTCAGTGGATGAATCCAGGCCTGAACTTATTTTTAGACTAGCTGTGGGAACCTTCTCCATCTCTGTGCTTCACATCGATCCTTTGTCTCCACCTGAAACGTCATTGAACCTTAATCCATTGACACCTTTGGCGATAGCTTTTTTTACTTGCATAGAAAAGATTGACCCAGCAAGATTTTCAGCAGATGATTTGAAGTCTTTCCGAGCAGTATTTGCCGAAGCTTGCAAACACGATCACCTTAGGTATATTCTCTCGTATTTATTAATGCTCCTTGGAAAAGAACCGGATGATGTGGGCTTTTGTGTCTACCTATCACCATTTGTTTTTCTAATTCCCATTTTACTTGGAAACGAGGGAATGAGTGAGGTTTCTTTCAGTGCTGCAGACATGCTTACCATAGAATCTCTCGTTCAGGTTAGTTGCCACGTGAAACAATTCACATAGAAGATTGAGATAATCTGGAGTTTTCTCTGCTCTTGACAAGTTTTTTCGACCACATTTGGCCAGTTAAGATAGTGACACCATTATAATCCTAAAAATAGTTCTTACTGTGGCTCAGCAGAGATGGCAGTGGTGGTAGGAGTGGAGTGAGTTCACGAGAAGGGATGTGCCCCAGTCCTCTGCCGTGGGGAGGGGGACAGCACCAAGGCGAATCTTGAGCCTGGATCCTGCACTTTCAACTTCTGCTTTAAAAAATTAAAGCCGTCCAAATAGCCAATGATCTTTTCATGAGTTGAGTCCTACTAGGTGAGGAGATGATTAAATTTGTAAGTATGATATTCTTAATATGTAAATATTGTTTAACAAAGTGATCTTTCATATTGTAGATGATAGTTTAGGCACATACATTAATATTTTTAGAAAACAGTTTGGCCTTTTATTTTAACTTTAAGTGTTAACAGTTACTACACAGAGTAGTTTTTATACATAGCAAAAGAAACTCTATGGTAAGGACCATAGTATTTATAATAAAATTGTAAAAACCTCTCCCCACCCCCATTTTTGACAGGGTTTCAAATATATGCCAGTAGGAAGTATAAGAAAAGCAGCAACAACTGGAAACGAGCTTACACTTGAGATCCACTGACTGAAGTTTTAAAAATATTGCATGAGGCTTTTAGACAATTTTAAGAATCTATTACGTATATTTTACAGATATGAAAGTTTTTGTCCACTGCAGTGTAAATTTTAAAATGTCAAAGAACAAAGGTCAGTGTTGGGAAATAAATATATCCTGGATAATTTCCTATTGACGGAACTGCTTTCTTATGTCAGGGAATGGGAAATTTGAAGCAGTCTTGCTGGTTAATACCCTTAGGAATATTAGTTATCACTAGCAACTTGAACCTGTCAGAATAGGTGGATAATTGTGCTTTAGCAACACTTGTGTACTCTTCTTTAACACGTTGGTTAATCTAGAAGTACGTGAATACTCTTAAATGCTTCATTTTTTGTAATAGATTTATAGGTACTGGCATCAAAGTGTCCTATGAACAAAGACAAAGATCAGCTTCCCGATATTTTAGTACGGATATGTCCATTGGGCAGATGGAACTTTTGGAGTGCCTGTTTCCAACTGATTTTCATTCTGTTCCTCCTCACTACACAGAGGTAAATGCTAGATACTTTTTCTTTAGATTCTTCCTTTTTTTTTTTCCTTAAAGTTTGAGAGAGAGGGTGAGAGAGCACGAGCAGGGGAGGGGCAGAGAGAGAGGAGGGAGAGCATCTGAAGCAGGCTCCATGCGGACAACGCATAGGGCTCAGTCTCCCAAACTGTGAGATCGTAACCTGAGCTGAAACCAAGAGTCGGATGCTTAATCGACTGAGCCACCCAGGTGTCCCTGTTGAACATTTTAATGTACGGCAGTCAAGGTCATTGTAAGAGTCTGTTAGACCTTTTAATTTAGAGTTGACTTGTTTTAAAGTGGCAGACAGATTATGAGACTGATGATTTCATTTCACTAACTTTCCAAGTACCATTAATTTCAGAAGATTTCTGCCATTCAACAAATACTGAATGCCTGCAGTGTGCTAAAAGCACTGTTTAATACCAGCAAAATGTCTTTTGTTCATTTATTAGTAGTCTGATTTTTTTTTTTTCTAATTCTAAAACCTGTTCTAGAGAAACTTTTCAAAGTTATTCATGATAACATTTATTGTTGTTACTTTGTACGTTTTATTTTCAGAGTACTTTCTTGGGCATTAATTTACTTGAATTCTCAGGTACATTTTGCAGATGAGATCCTAAGTATCCCAGGAGTGAACTAACTTGTCTAGGATTCACGCTGCTTGTAAGAGCCCAAAATGAAATGTAAACTCCTCTTTCTTGACTTCAAAAAGCTTACACTTTTCCCACTATTATATTAGCACCTCTGTTAATTCATGAAATTAATGATAGTTTAATATCTTACATTTAATTTATCTTTGTCTTTCTTTGTAAGCTTTTAATGTTTCATTCCAAAGAGCGGACTGATTCCCATCTCCCTGTGTGTCTTCAGCTTCATTATAAGCATTCTGAGAATAAAGGACCCCAGGTAAGAGGCCTTTTTATGTGATTACCACCTGTAAATTTTCATTTGATATATATTTTGTCACAGTCATAAGGTTTTCACTTCATTTTGTGGTATTAGTGGTTAATGTTTTCCTTTTTTTTTTTTTTTTTTTTTTAAGGGTAATCAAGCAAGACTTAGTTCTGTTCCTCAGAAGGCAGAATTACAAATTAAGTTAAGTCCAGTGTTCTGCGAGCTGGATATCAGTATTGTGGACAGATTAAATTCCTTGCTTCAACCACAGAAACTTACTACAGTGGAAATGATGGCATCTCACATGTATACGTCCTACAATAAACCTATTAGTCTGGTAAGTATTCAGAACGTTGCAAATACTAATCGTAAGTATAGCTAGCTAATGGGCTTATTGGGATCATTTCTGGGCTTAAGTATTCTTAATAGCTTAAATAGCACCTATTATTAAAACAGCATCATTCATAATAATGAAAAATGAAGACTTGAATGCCTAGGTGATAGACTAGCTCAATACGCTTTGCTAATATATGGAGTCAAATACTTTCGTGGCCATTTTGAATGATGGTTATAAAGACGGGCCACATGAAGAAAGCTCATGAAGGAGTATTAAAAGTGGAACGTGTTACTCCACATAAACTTTTGTGACCACTGTGCAAATAAACTTGAGGTATAGAAAAAGAATGGATAGAACTGAACCAGTTGGTAGCATTGATTATGTTAGAGTGTGGCATTAGATTCCCTTTCCTTTTCTGTGTTTGCCCAAATTTTATAAATTTCAGTTACAATATCTGTGCAAAACTCATTCACGCATTTAGCAAACTACTTGGTCTACCTGTAAAATGTAGCCCATATGATGAAAGATACACTTGTGAAGGTGGGAATTTAATTTATAGTATTGGGTTATTGGGCATCGCATTAGGTCACCTTTACTTAGATCTGTCTGGTGCTTGGTGTCTTTTCTAAGCAAGTAAGTCAGATTTGCAAGAAATCCGTTAGGAATTTTGGGGCTGGAATTCGGGCGCTATAAGGACCGGGAACAGATATAGACAACTTTGGTTTAAAAAGAAAAGGGAAAAGCTATTTTTCCACTTACTTGTTTCTCCCTCAGTTAGTGGTGGGCATTCGCATTAAATCAGCGTTCTTTAATTTTTGTTGTCACCAATTGCTAATTATTTGAAGTTCTGTGGGGCTAGTGTGCGTGTTTACTGTTGGCCGTAGATGTACCAAGATGATGGCTTAATCTCTTGGGTTATTTTTGCTGAGAATAGGGGTTAGTATTACAAAGTCCAATAGGGGAGAGAAAGGATAGGTGTGTTAAAAATCCAAGTCTAGGGGCACCTGGGTGGCTCAGTTGGTTGAGCGTCCGACTTCGGCTCAGGTCATGATCTCACGGTTCGTGAGTTCGAGCCCTGCATCAGGCTCTGGGCTGATGGCTCAGAGCCTGGAGCCTGCTTCCGATTGTGTCTCCCTCTCTCTTTGCCCCTCCCCCATTCATGCTCTGTCTCTCTCTGTCTCAAAAATAAACAAACATTAAAAAAAAAATTAAAAAATCCAAGTCTAGGGTAAAAAGGGGACTTTCTAATCTGGGAGGTTAGACTAGTAGAGGGGAGTGTTCTCACCTGCAGTGTAGTCTGGACTAAAGCTTTTTTTTTTTCTTTTTATTCTTTATTTTTGAGAGACAGTGAGACAGAAATGCAAGTGGGGGAGGAACAGAGAGAGAGGGAGACACAGAATCCGAAGTGGGATCCAGGCTCTGGGCTGTCAGCACAGAGCCCGATGTGGGACTTGAACTCAAAAACCACAAGGTCATGACCTGAGCCGAAGTTGGATGCTCAACTGACTGAGCCACCCAGGCACCCCTGGACTAAAGCTTTATAAGCTTCAATGCATTTTAGGAAAAAAAAAACAAAAAAAAACAGACTTTTATCTGAAGGGCATGTTCTTTGATACTTTTGTTGTAACATGATTTTGAGTAAAGGGTACACACATGTCTTGGTTTCTAAGAGCCATCTGATGGGCTTATACACTTGGGTTGGATGGGAGCTCAGAGTGAGTCATCTGGTGAATATTTAGAACTTACACTGTGCCAGGCTCTGGGCTTCGGCCTGGAAATACAGAATTGAGTCAGGGATGGATAGGCCTTTGCATTTGGCTCAATGTATCTAATTTCACATTGAGCCTTTGAAGTAGCATAGTGGTAGACAGATTCTTCGTATTGGAAGTTAAGTTGATTTTTAACTGTATTGGACTTATTGATAACCTACTTTACACACTGTCCTTTTTTAGTCTGTACTAATATGTGTATGCATCTATAGCACCTGTGTCTTTGGTTCAGTTTTTATTTTGACTGATTTTATATGAGGATTTAACTTTTGCCAGTAATTTGGAATTTTGTCAATAGCTGTTACTTTATAAAATTCCATTACTCTAAATTAACATGGTAGTAGTTAATTTGAATTTTATTTTAATGCTTTATACTGAATGAGGAAGTAGTGATTATACATATTGTTGAATACTAACATCATTTGTGCTTATTTACTTAATTTGACATTTTGGCGTATTTTTGATATTTTGTGTTTTAGCACAAGGCTTTCACCGAAGTATTTCTGGATGATTCACACAGTCCTGCAAATTGTCGGATATCAGTCCAGGTTGCCACACCGGCATTAAACCTTTCTGTCCGCTTCCCAATACCCGATCTTCGGTCAGATCAGGAAAGAGGACCATGGTTCAAGAAGTCGCTTCAGAAGGAGATCCTTCATTTAGCATTCACAGATCTAGAATTTAAGACTGAATTTATAGGAGGATCAACCCCAGAACAGATTAAATTGGAACTTACCTTTAGAGAACTAGTTGGTAAGATTGAATGTGCCTGTAAGAGCCAGACCAGAAATAACCACTACTGAAACAAACATGAAAAAGTCTGATAGTCCACAATATTAGTAACATTAGACACCATTAGAAAACAAGAGGAATGGCTTTTTTCCAGTGTTGTATACCAATATGGGATACAATTATTTTTTTGTTTTAGTTACTAAGCATGATTATTCACTTCATTAAAGTACTTTTCTACAGGGGAATGTTGTAAAGTTTCTTTTCCCTTGTTCTGAGTTTTACACATCTTTACAGATATTTACAGTTGATTTGCTGATTATGACTTCATTAAAGGGCCTTTAGGCGTTATCTGATCTAATCGACAGTGGTAGGAAACTCAGTATTCTGGAGGAAAGTCATTCTTTGTAAAATGGACTGAAAAATCACGCATTGGTTATTGTGAACGGAGGGAATTCTTACAATGCTTGGTACAAAGCGTTTAAGAAATATAGTTATTATCCCTGTGTTCCTAGATGAGCTGCATAAACTTTTGTGTAGAATAATCATTGAGTGACACTCACTAAGTGGCACCTGCTGTATTTACTGTCATGATTATGTACCTTACACATTAAACCTGGTGCCTTAAGAATTTGAGTTTGGGCAGAAAACATCATCTTTAGTTCATCTGCTCATCCTGTCTCCCCACATGTACCCATGAAACAGGGACAAAAGAATAAGTGCTGTACAGCTTAATGTTGCACTGTGTCCCTCATCCAGAGGACCTTTGCTTATGTAAGGAGGAAACTACTTTTTCTCTTAGCACTTGAAAAGAAATGCATTTTAGTGAATCAGTCTTGTTTTATTAGGGTCATTCCAGGAAGATAAAGGAGAATCATCTGTTAAGTTTTTCCATGTGTCTAGTGGGGTAGATGGAGATACAGCATCATCAGATGACTTTGACTGGCCACGGTGAGTACCAGATGTATATGATAGACATTTAGTGAGACTATTGTTTCTAGAATAAATTGCTGTAGCACTTTTAATTGACATTTTGGCTATGAATTTAAAAATACTCTCCCTTAATGCGAGAACTCAGAGGAAGATGGACAAAATCAATTTAAAAATCCATACTGAGGGGCGCCTGGGTGGCTTGGTTGGTTAAGCGTCCGACTTCGGCTCAGGTCATGATCTCACGGTCCGTGAGCTTGAGCCCCACGTCAGGCTCGGTGCTGACAGCTTAGAGCCTGGAGCCTGTTTCAGATTCTGTGTCTCCCTCTCTCTCTGCCTCTCCCCTGTTCATGCTCTGTCTCTCTCTGTCTCAAAAGCAAATAAATGTTAAAAAAATAATAAAAAAAATAAAAATCCATATTGAGTGTATTACTCTATGATGAAAGGTGTCTGTCTTTATTGTGAGAGATGAAGTTTAAAGTGTATTCCCTGGTCTCAAGTTACCCAGTTTAAGTAGAGGGACAGAAGAATCCTTAACTGTTCTAAAAACCGTTCAGGGCTACAGGCGAAGAGTCATGTGGCATCATTTGGTTAGTCGTCAGATGAATCTTCTAGTCCGTGATCTCTTTTTTTCAAAAAAAGTCCGTGCCAGTGTTTTACAAATCTGGGGAGCTTTTACAAGATACTGATTCATGGACTCCACCCTGAGATTTTGGGATGGAGTGTGGGCATCAGGATAGTCCAAAATTACATCAGGTGATTCTAGTGTACAGGTGGATGTCAAAAATTACTTCAGGATTTCTTAGAATTAATAAAATAATTATATTTATTATAGGCTACTGATTATTCCTTAACACACTTGTTAGTAGATATTAGAACGAGATTATTTAACTTAATGGCCTGATAGTGGGCTTTGATATGTTTGAAAGGATGTCATTTACTTCAAATAATGACTTTTTATTATATTGAAACCTGAGAATTAAAGCGGTCTTTCTTTAGCACCATTTTTACCTGCCCCCAGTATATCAGGCCTTGCAGACTCTTAGGCATGATCAGTTCGTGCCTGGTAATGAGCAGTTTACTGTATGAGTTTCCAGCATAAGAAATGGATCTACCTCAGTTAATTTGGAAGCACATTTTCTATTAGAATATCAAAATTAGGAAACATTGGTCACTGTTCGTCACTAGAGCCAACGGGGGCACCACCTACTTAGGGGAAAACCCATTATAGATGCACGACAGCTGTTTTGCTTGAGCGCGTCAGGCCTCCTCACAGCGGTGTTGAAGGGCAGACTGCAGATCCTTTACTAGTGACGAGCAGGGAGGAGGAAAGGAGGGGCTGAGGGCATCAGCTCCTTTATTCCAGGTTTGTAGCTTCCATACAACGGCAACCCTGCAAGCCTTTCATGATTGAAATTCCTGAAGGAAAGAATTACTTCATCGTTGCAGTTCTAGGTTATTCCCTTATCATCTCCTTTTCCATTTGAACAGTTTCTAGAACATAAGGTCTCTTAGGTAAGCAAGTATTCCATGATAGCAGAACCCCAGAAGCATTTGGTTTCGTGATACTAAATAGACTTCTTAGGTAAAATTCGTTGGCTCTTAGTGAAATTTACAGATCACCTTGTGTCCTCAAAAGATCAGATTTTTCTGTTAGCCGAGTATAAAATGGTAATGCCCCTGTTTTATTTACTTCTGTACTTCGAAGTTACAACACACTCCGAAGTGGTTACGTGTCAATAACTAGACTTGGTAGAGAAGCTGAATCCTATTGTCAGTGGTTTTTGTGTCAGTGTGCAGAAAAGTTAAAGCTTTGCCGTTTCCACTGAGACCTTGAGTTTTTAAATTGTCTTTGCTGTCAGAATTGTACTGAAAATAAATCCGCCAGCCATGCATTCCATTTTGGAGAGGATAGCAGCCGAGGAAGAAGAGAGTGATGGCCGCTATCAGGAAGAAGAGGAAGGAGGTGCTCATTCCCTAAAGGATGTTTGTGATCTGCGAAGACCAGCCCCATCTCCCTTTTCTTCTCGCAGAGTCATGTTTGAAAATGAGCAGGTAAAATAAAAGTGAGCAGGCAATGAAGGGATTATCCTCCATCACGTACCAATCATTTTCATTCTTTATTTTTAAAAAGTACTTTGTATACTACGCTTACTAGGTTTCTAACGCCAAGACTGAATAATACCTATTTCTTTCTTGGTTAAAAGTGATTATGTGTTTGTTTACTTGCTCACATACCAAGTCCTATGGATAGGGTGAGAAGATGCTACTCTTAATTCTAAATACGAAATGGTCATTTGATGCTTTTTTTGCACCCAACTATTCTATTTTAGATGGTGATGCCAGGAGACCCTGTGGAAATGACAGAGTTTCAGGATAAAGCGATCAGCAATTCTCACTATGTGCTGGAACTTACATTACCCAGCACTCATATAACACTACCTAATAAAAGTTTTTATGAGAAGCTGTATAATCGGTGAGTTTAAACGCATTCAGTGGAGTCTTTGGGATTGGACGTTTCTGCCTCACTGCCTCCCTGTTTCCCCACTTCCCCCTTTTCTTTCCTTGCTTTAATATTATCTACCGTCTCTGGGTACCTTGTGTGCTGTTGATTATGAAACTTAACGTTACAGTGGGCTGTTGTCATAGCAGAGTTTCCTAACCAGTGTGCCTGGTAACTCGGTTACTTGTGTGTGAAATGTTTATTTCCTCCACCGTCGTTAGCTGGCTGCTCTCTGTCACCTTACCACAGGGTACTGAGAAAATATGTCTTCTGTGTGTGCAGTGACATGAAAAGAGTTGGGAGGTCCTGGATGGAGGGCCAGCAGGTGCTAGGGTGGAGTCAGAATCCTAGAATCTTTGTGTAAGGAGCATCTTTTTTCAGAGTTTAAAAAAGCATCTTGTTAGAATTCTACACTTCAAACTTGTCAGTTTGCATGTAACAATTTAAATTAATTATAAATATCCTTAAATGTACATACCAAGCAAATACGTTGAAGTAAATGGGATTCTAGAGTTGAAATATCCTAGCCTCTGAAGACCTTCCTAGCTTACCTGGCCTCCCCAAGCTCAGTTTCCTCATCTATTAAAAAAAAAAAAAAAAAAAAGTGGGTGATACCTATACCTGTCTCAAAGCGTTGTTTAGAGGATTAGATGATACAGTATTTGGAAAGTTCTGAGAATACTGCCTAGCATATAGTAAGCACTCAGTAGTCCTCTTGTCACTGTCCTCGTTTCTATACACTGAAGGAATCTCTTCTATAGCATACCTGAAAGATGGTCTAGAAAAAGATGTTCTTAGTGTCTGTCATCACTAGCTTCCCATATGTAAACATGCTATTCTCATTTTTACTATTTTATTTTCAGAAGCGCCACCTTTGTTTCTGCTGTACATTTACTTGCTATCAGATATCCCTGGCCCTTTATTCCTTAACTGTTACTAATAATATGCTCTGGATCTCCTTATTGCCTACCCGTGACCAAGACTGTTGATCTTAGAAAATTTAAGTTCAAGAAAGATCCACCAAGTTCAGTTGTCTTGATGATGAGATAGATTCACAGGACAGTCCATTGAGATGCAGGAAGAGAATGTTCTTCTGTTTAACTTTTTAAAAAGTCTTATAAAATTTATATATTTGCTTTATAATATTCATAATGTATAAATTGAAGCATATAATTTATAGACACATCAGAAGGCTTTTACAGGTTTTTCTTTTAGCTGTTAGGGGTTTACACATGATCTAAGGTTTGGAAACCACTGATCTCTCAACCATTCTTTTATAGTTGCGAAATAACTAAGAGCTCACGGATGTGTAAGGCTGAGACAGAAAAATGAAAGATTAGTTCAAAGTCCAGCCCAGAGGTCAGAGGGCTTAGTCCATTTCTTACACTTTCTGCATTTGCTCAAGCAGGTGGCTGTTGGTTAAATTGGGAGATCAGAACAGAAATATGCATCTTAAACAAATTCAATTTATAAATCTGTTCATTTACCACATTTTAAATACAAGACCAGGTTTTTTGTTTTTTTTTTTAACATGAGTCCTTGGTTGGAGGATTTACATAAGTATAGCCCAAAAGGTTTTGTCTGCAGTTTTTAATTTCTGAACAGTTTCAAAGTAATCTGAGTGCAAAATCCTTCTTGGATTTTAAGATTTTTTCAGTCTATATACTTAAAAGTCATCTGCTAGCACAATATTTTATTAAAATCTACTTACAGCAATAAATACAGCTGGGATGAGCACATTTGAGGCCAGACACAGTGACGCTTGGTGAATACACAGAACGTCGAGCTCGCCTGGTGGGAGCAGCATTCTCCGGTGTGCTGGAGAGCAGCCCCAGGGAGCCAGCAGTCAGCATACGGGGGACATCAGTCAGCATGGCACGTGGGGCAGGTGACTGCTCCCATCGGGGTGCTAGAGAGTCTCTGTTCTTCTGAGGATGGGTTACATGGGGGGTTGCTGAAGAGCATTTCTGTCGTGCCTCACTCTGCCCACTTCTGCTGTCAGATGCCTACAGTTATGTAAATACTGAAGTGTACCCTTACCTTGTGGATCTTATAAGTCACATATCGAAGCTCTCCAGGCTGTGAATTCTTTGCTCCTTGTTTGGCTGTGAATATGTATATTTTTATTTTGAAGTTAATATCAAAGTTTTCAAATATTCTCCAGCTTAACAGAAAATGGCACAAAGAGCTTTTTTTTTTCTCCTGAATCCTTTGAGACTGAGCTGCTGGCCTGAGGCTCTCTGAGCACTTGGGTGTGTACTGCCCACAAACAAGGACATTCTTCTACATAACTGTAACTCAGCCATCAAAGTGAGAAAATTGATACTTGGCGCTACCTAGTCCTCAGACCCCATTTGAGTTTTGCTAAATGTTTCAATATTGCCCTTTTAATTATATAATTATATGTTCTGTATTATAGTGTTATGTATTCTATAATATATAACATAAAATACATATATATTATATAATATAATGTATTATATAATGTGTATTATTATATATTATATAGTATAACTTTTATTCTTATTTTTAATTTTTGTACATCTAAAAACATAACTCTGACCAGGAGTTATAACCAACTTTGCCTTAACTTCACACATTTAAGATCTTGGTTTATTCCCTCAGTGCCTGGGTCATCTGGCCCTGTTTAGACACACAGTCTCAGGTACAGGACTGTTTTTTCTATTTCAAAAGTCCTTTAGAATAGAATGTAGGGGCGCCTGGGTGGCGCAGTTGGTTAAGCGTCCGACTTCAGCCAGGTCACGATCTCGCGGTCCGTGAGTTCGAGCCCCGCGTCGGGCTCTGGGCTGATGGCTCAGAGCCTGGAGCCTGTTTCCGATTCTGTGTCTCCCTCTCTCTCTGCCCCTCCCCCGTTCATGCTCTGTCTCTCTCTGTCCCAAAAATAAATAAACGTTGAAAAAAAAATTAAAAAAAAAAAAATAAAATAAAATAAAAAATAGAATAGAATGTAAAAAAAAGAATTTTCACTAGCTTTATTGAGCATCTTATATTTTAAGCTCACAGCCACAGGACCATGGTGATATGTCCTTAAATATCTTAGGCGTCTTCTTTCTTGGTATTAGAAACATCACCCGTGTTTTGCAGTATTAATGGTACCAAGACTGTGTTTAGACCAACGTGTAAATTAAGGAAAATGTAAAGTCATATGAAACTTATCTTTACAGGTCACCTCCCAGGAACTCCAGGTTTTAGATAAAGTGATGGATTCTCTTTAACCTATGAAGATAAGAGAATAGTTGTGGGGAATAAGAGAAGAGTTATTTCCCGAGAAGATTCTTCATTTTGTTTTTTTTTTTCCCTTTTATATCTTTGTTATTTATTTACATAGGAGTTCAAAGTAAGGTCAGGGTTTAGACTCTTTCATTTCTTTGTCCTATAAGTAATATACCCAAGAGAAGCCAGCAAGCCAATGAGTACCACACAGTTTTGGGGCACAGCTGTCATTGTGTCTGGGATGAGACCTATTTCTGGCCTGTGTCACTGGTGTTCTTCACCTATGACGCTTCCCAGATGGAGAGCTTTCAGGGTGGGGATTTCAGTCTACTGAGGGTCACAGTACTCCATCCTGGTGTATACTTTCTAGGGCTGCAGAAGCTCAGGAATTGGCTCAGAACATTCCTAGACCAGTGGTTTCCCGCAGGAAGGGCCAGGGCTCCATCATGGCTTGGCACCTTAGCTGGCATTCACACTGGGCTTTACGATCAGTCTGTGCTTTTGGCAGTCCTTCCATGTGAGTCCTCAAACCCTTGGTGCCTGTTACGTGACAGTCATTGTGTGAGGCACATAGAAGGGTGCCCAAGACCTACGTCCCTCTCTCCGAGAGGCTGCAGTCTAGGAAGGGGAAGCAAGAGAATAGAGCGTTGTAGGCGCCATGATTGAGTTACATCTGTGAAGGATTTGCTGGGGGTCCAAATCGATCAGAAGGCTTCAGAGAGGATGTTGTAAAGTCTGAGTTTTCGTGGAAATGTAGAGCGTGGGTGATGAGGGTGGGGGGAGGAACAGAAGGGCATCAGAGTAGGGACAGAGATTTCTTTGAAAAAGGAGGATGTGTTGGTCGCCTGGCTTGACACGTATCAACCCGTTAGTCACCGGTCTTGACTTGGCTGCGCAGCTCGTGAGAGGGTCTCACGTTTCGCTTGCACTCTTGGTCTCCTGCACACTCCCCAATGAAGCTGCTCTTTCTGTGGGAGGGAACGCACTTATCTAGGGACGGTGAGCGATGGAGGAGAGAGCCGGACGAGATGTGGGCTGTGGCCCCAGTTCCCCTGCAGATCAGCTGTGTGGCCTGTGGGAGGCAGCGTCTCCGAGCGTGAAGTGAGGGTGATGGTTCTTCCTTGGCTGCTCCGTGGGATTGGGGGGCATCACACGAGACAGAGCGTGCTGTGTTGCAGCTTGCAGAGTGCTCTCCTGTGGGAGCAGTTTTCCCTTGTTCCTCATGGGTTTTTTAATTAACTGCCTCCTTTAAAGTGCATTTAGATGTATGCACACCACACAGGTAAAACTAGGCAGATAGCTGATGAGGTTATCTCATCGTACGGATTCCTTTCTCACGGCCCCCCACTAGCGCCATACCAGTGCTTTTTCCTTTGAAAGAACGTAATGGATGTTTAAAAAAAACAAAAAACAAAACTTTTTTTTTTGTAGGGTCTAATTTCTGTGTCACCATTTAGAAAAATTATTATTCACGTGACTTCTTAAAGGCATGTTCTGTTGTGTACCTTCAGTGGAACTACGAGTGATGTCCTTATTTTTCAACTTCTGTCTATAATAGGATCTTTAACGACTTGCTGCTCTGGGAACCAACTGCCCCTTCGCCAGTGGAGACATTTGAGAATATTTCATATGGTATTGGTCTTTCCGTAGCCAGTCAACTGATTAATACCTTCAACAAAGATAGTTGTAGTCAATTTAAATCTACAGTTCACTATGGTAATGTATTTTAAATTTGTTTGGAATTAAAATGCCTGGTTTATCAGTAAATTAGCAACCCTTTCTCAATTGGCATTAAAATATTTCTTGGCTGTTTTCTACTCGTAATGTATTTTATAATATCTTTTAGTAACTTACAGTATTTCCCCACTTTCATCTATATATTGAGAATATTATCAATGAAACGTGTTGCCTTTATAGTGCCACCATACACGTTGTCCTAAGTTCATTGGGAAAGAGAGCAATATAGTAAGTACGTTCTTATTGTGAGGCCAGATTCTTGGTAAAAAAAACAAAAGAACAAAACAGGTTGTAAGATAAGAATTGTGATAATGTTCCAGTTACTGTTTTATTTTAATAACTGTCAGAACTGTAGAATTATGACATTTGTTTCTCGCAGATGAGGAAAGTGGATCCGAGGAGGAGACGTTGCAGTATTTCTCTACCCTTGATCCCAACTATCGTTCCCGTAGGAAAAAAAAACTAGACTCTCAGAACAAGAACTCACAAAGTTTTCTCTCAGTTCTTCTGAGTGTTAATCATGGATTAATGGCAGTGTTCACAGAAGTAAAGGTGAGGATTTGCAAATGCAAAGTGTTTCAAGTGTATCTTACTTCAAATCTCCCCTGATCCATACATGCAGTCATCGAGGGAGTGGGAGGTTGTCTTGGGCCTGGGGAAGATCAGTGTTGTGAGGCACTCACTCCGCGGTGACCTGGTGACCGCAGCTTTGGGGAACGAGCTGTCACTGTAGATCAGAAGACAAGTGTTACATGGTCCTTTTGGCAAAAATGCTGGTTCTGCTCCTGCAGTGATCGCTAGAAATTTTATCTGTTACAAAGGCGGATGAAGGACAGGGATTCATTTGGCAGAAGAGGCCCCACCAGCATTTAATTATTCAGTTTTTAATACCACTGTGGTGGGTGGTTCCAGAATCAGACCAGTTTGCCACCACATGGGAGGAACTTCGAAGCTGAATCAGGAAGGAGCAACCCAAGGGTCATTCTTCCTTTTCTGCATGTAAATAATGACTTCTGTGTTTTTCTGATCTTTTTTTTTGTTGTTGTTGTTGTTTTTTGTTTTTTTTTTTTTTTTTTTTTTTTTTTTTAGCAAGATAATGGAGATCTGTTGGAGAACAAGCATGGTGAATTCTGGTTAGAGTTCAATAGTGGTTCCTTGTTTTGTGTGACAAAATACGAAGGTTTTGATGACAAGCACTACATCTGCCTTCATTCTAGCAGTTTCAGTCTTTACCACAAAGGTAGGACACGTTTCATGTGTGTGTTGTTCGCTTCTGTTTAGACCGGTTTAAATTTTATTTCACAAAATCTATTGAGAACAGAACTCTGATAATAGAAATTATTTTCCGTGGGGTGTTCTGATTCCATTGGCAAAGTGATGCTTATTGTACATTAGGAGTTGACTTCATGTTTTTTGGGGCAACAACTTTATTGAGATACAATTCATGTACTATACACTTCACCCATTTAAACTCTACATTTCATTGGCTTTTACTATTTCACAGAATTGTTGCCACCATCATCACAGTCAACTTTAGAATGTTTTAATCACCCCTAAAAGAAACTGGGTACCCCTTAGCTGTACCCCTCCCATAGCCTTCACCCTGCCCAGCACTAAATAACCTCTGATCTACTTTGTGGATTTATGTATTCTGTATGTTTATGGAATCATTCAGTATGCGGTCTTTTGTGACTGGCTTCTTTCATTTGTCGTGATGTTTCCAGGCCTCATCCAGGTGTGACGGTGTTTTATCCTTTTTCATTGCTGAATAACACTCCATTTTATGGATATACCGTACCTTATTATCCACCGATGAGTTGATAAGACTTTATGGTCGTTACTCTCTTAAACAGTATCTCCTTGTGGTAACAAATATAGAATTTACCATCCTGTGAGCACATTCCCTGTTACCTTGTGAATAGAAGATATTTGCAACATTCTTTTTTTTTTTTTTTTTCTTCTAAGTGTAGAAAACAGTACTTGGACAGTCTTAATGTTTATCAGATTTTTCTGTTTAAATTTAATTTTCCTAGCATTTCCTATTTTAATTTTTTTCTTGAGTACCGTCATTCATACCAACATTAGCAGAGACATACAGATTATTGATGTCAAGCTGGTTCTTGGTCATTATAGTCAATGGAAGTATATAGAGTTTTGTTTTGAGTTGTGAAAGTCTGAACTAATTTCAGATGATCATTTCGTTATGTCGTCATCTCGTTGTGGATGTAGGCATAGTGGATGGAGTGAGTCTTCCCACAGAAACACGACTGCCCAGTTCAACCCGCCCGCATTGGTTGGAACCAACTATTTATTCCTCTGAAGAAGATGGCCTCAGTAGAGCTGCTTCAGATGGTGTCGGAGGTGACACTTCGAATATGCTCTCTGTTGCAGTTAAAATACTGTCTGATAAATCGGAGTCCAATACAAAGGTTTGTCTTTTGTATTTTTGTACCATTATGTACTTGCCATTTCTTTGATTCCTAGCTCCAAGTGATTGCATAAAAGGCAACACATTTTTTCCCTTAGAAAAACTTTTCAAGTTTTGATTTAGAGGATTACATAGGTGGTAAATGGAGTTCTTCGTGTTGTTGTGTGTAGGAATTTCTCATTGCTGTAGGATTGAAAGGAGCCACACTCCAGCACAGGATGCTTCCTTCTGGGCTTAGCTGGCACGAACAGGTAAGAGAGTTGTTACGTGCGTATTGGTTTCCTTCTGACTTCATACTGACATGTAGTACACACACTGTGAAGTCACAGATCATAAAGGAGGAGTGCTCACTGAGTTTTCCCTGGAGTAAACACTCCCAAATAACCACCTCTCAGGTCAGGAAGTGGAATATTATCACCACTCCAGAATGAAATTGATTGTTTTTACCTTAAAGTTTGGACCCTAAATCTCCCACAGACAGAGTTATCGTGTATGTCACTTAAGGGAAGGGATTCTGTGACCCAGAATCTTAGAGCACCTAAGATGAATGGTGTATTGACTTGCACTTCTAACCCTGTATTCCTTAAGGTATATTTCAGAGTGATTTCAGAGTGATTCCCTAGGCCAGTAACATGCTTTGAGAATGCTCTAACATTCATTTAGAATGATTTTTGTAATTAATTTCCAGTGCAACAACTGTTTGATTAATGAAATACAGTTGGTTAATTTCTTTTCTATGTGAGAATTGTACAATGATTCTTGTTCATTTTCCTTAGAAAGGGGAACTTTTTCCTTTCCTCTGAAAATAATAAATTAGTTCATACTCGAAAGTTTTCAGAGAGCTTTCATAAAAGCATTTAGGGAACACAAGGAGGCTTAGAACAGTGTGGTGAGGGGAAAGAGTTGGGGTGAACGCTGAACTCGGTTGTAAGGGAGAGGTTAGTCTAACCCTATTTAGATAGAAATATGGGAGAATGGATGTCAGTAAGAGAGACTGAGACTGAGTGAGGTATAATGTAGGGAAAAATAACTTTTCCCAAAAATGGATTATGTAGAAAACCAGGTGGAGCGTAAGCAATCTTTAGCAAAATTTATTTTTTTCGAGAATTGTCCCTGGCAAAATAATGTAAAAGTATATCATACGTACTTCAGTTTCATAAGATAGGATTTTCCCAAGACTTCTGTAGCATTGCAGTTGTCAGATGGGCCTCTCTCATCATTTCAGACCCTAGTTTTGCAAATACTTTTTTGAAATGAATTTCTTCAAAATGATGATTTTCTACTTTTAGCTTTGATTTTTCCAATAAACGGTTGCTTTTTCTGTGAGATATTTTATTTTACATTGGTATTAAGGATATCCTATCAAAACTTTTTTTTTTTTTTCCTCTAAAGCAGGGCATTTAATATTTTTGTGATTATAGATTTTATACTTCTTGAATATTGCTGATGAACCTGTCCTGGGATATAATCCTCCAACTTCATTTACAACTTTTCACGTTCATCTCTGGAGCTGTGCACTTGATTATAGGTTAGTTCACAGATGGACTAAATAAAATTCTATTCAAAGTAGGTACTGAGTTTTGAAAAAATACGTAATTCAAATTAAGGTTCACGCTGCTCTTTTAAGGGAGTTTCTGTTGTTGTAGCCAACTGATGTTTTTTGTTTCTTTTCGGTATTAGGCCTCTTTATTTGCCGATCCGATCTCTTCTCACTGTGGAAACATTCAGTGTATCGAGTAGTGTGGCCTTGGATAAATCATCATCTACACTCAGGTGTCTATGTGAACTTTGCTGACTACTAAATTCAGCTGGTCCAAACATGCTGACTGATACTTAGCTAAACTCGATTCAAGTCCCAATCTTTTGTTAAAACCAGCATTCTTTTACTCATAGTCCTGTCTCTCTGTCCAGGTTTTCAACTTTGAGATTTCAGATGATTTGTCCCATCTCTTCTATTTATCACTGTTTTTTATTTTTAGGGAGGAAATGAATTCTTGAGATTGGTAGTTTACTTCTTAAAGCAGAATATAAACTTCCCATATGACCTAATACACTTTATTTTCATAATTTAGGTCTTGTGAATTTGGGCATCTATTAAAACATGCTGAAAATTTACAATTTGAGCAGATGATTCAGTCTTACTCTTTACACAAATTAAGTATTTCTAGCACTCAGAAGCAGTGAGTTTTAAAGAAATGTCAGATGACACTTGTAAGAAACTGTAGATGACTTTGATGACTTGTGTATCAGAAGAACGATACACCTAAGTGTGCCGTGATCACGTGTTAGGTATTCCAAGTTAAGTGCTTAGAGGTTGATTTTATCTTTTTTCCTCAGAATAATCTTGGATGAAGCTGCTTTGCATCTGTCTGACAAGTGTAATACTGTTACTATAAATCTGAACAGAGGTAAGAGTTGAAAAACAAAATCTGGGGTTAGATGAATGCTCTTTATTTTTTGTACATGAATATTTTAAAGCATTTGAACTCTGAAATGATGCCATTGAACTAAGGATCTTGTTAAATACCAGTTTGAAGTTGTAATGTCCTTAGAATGTCAGTTAAGTGCATCAAGTTATATGTACTCTTTACTTAGTAAAAGATTAATTTTGTTTCTAAATAAAGGGAATTGTAGGACTTTTAAAGGATGAAACTATATTTCCATTGCATTTTAAATATTTTTAGCACCAACTGCCATGAATTTTAAAGAGATGCTAGTTTTAATACATGTTGGTTGGATCAGCATTTTTTGAAAGCTTTGCTCAGATATTTTGTTAATTTAAAAAATTTTAGATTATGTTCGTGTGATGGATATGGGGCTTTTGGAATTAACCATAACTGCAGTGAAATCTGATTCTGATGGAGAGCAAGTAAGTTATTAAAATAAATGGAAATTTTTATCTAAGTCCTTTTTATAGGAGAGACTAAAAAGAAGTATTGAATTTACTGTAAAAATTGTTTTGGTTGGAAGTAGATAAAATGTTTTAAAATTGGGATTTAGTCATTATAAATACACATTTCCTGTGGCAAGAATAATTATATTCTACTTTTTTTGATGTAAACCTATGCAACAAAAGAAATTCTTATCTCGTTTGGAAAACGTTTTCTTAAATTTTTTTTTTTTTTAAGTTTATTTATTTTTGAGAAAGAGCATAAGCTCGAGCAGGGATGGGGCAGAGAGAGAGGGAGAGAGAGAATCCCAAGCAGGCTCTGTGCTATGCGGGACTCGAACTCACAAACCGTCAGCTCATGACCTGAACTGAAACCCAAGAGTTGGACGCTCAACTGATTGAGCCACCCAGGCGCCCCTGGAAAATGTTTTCATCCATTTTCCCTTGTGTGCGCCCAGACTGAGCCGCGCTTTGAGCTACACTGTTCGAGTGACATTGTCCATATCAGAACATGCTCGGACTCTTGTGCTGCGTTAATGAATCTCATTCAGTACATCGCAAGCTATGGGGACTTACATGCGGCTAACAAGGCGGAGACGGAGCCTGGAGCCCCTGAAAGAAAGACAAAGGTACAGCCAGCGGTATCGTGCATTACAACTAACTCACCCTGACCCGTTGCAGCCACACGAGTGACAGGTGTAGTCAGTGAGGTCTTCGTGACCGTCACGAGGTAGAAAAGAAACTTTGAAAAATCCTCTATTATTTACCGTCAGAGTGATGAGGTCTGGAAAGGTGGTTCCAGGGGCCTTTTTGGAAAACCGTTCTGCTGTCTGATATTCTTTGTTTCAAAACCTTAATCTTCTCGGCCAACATAATACTTTTTTCCAGACTTGAGTTATTTTCATCTCACCTCCAGGAAGAAAGAAAACATTTAGCATGTAAGAGCTTGCGATGTGCAAGTCGTGTGTAAAACTGCTTCTGAGAGGGGGAGATGCAGGTGTTCATATTGTTTCCAGAGGCCTCTGTTCTCCTTCATGTTTGTTACGTGGGATTCTGTTCAGTTTTCAGTCTATGTTCTCCTGTGTGATTTCCCTTAACCCAGTGTGACAGGGTAAAGATTATCACCTCTGTTTCATAGGTGAATAAATTAAAACCCAGAGAATTAGGTGATTCGCCCAAACTAGCAGCCAAAATGGCAACAAGATTCAGGTATTTGGATTTCCGGTTCAGTGCTTTCTTATGCCCCCGTACATTACCTCTCTGTCCTCGCTCATGTCTAGAGTGAACAGTGTCGAGTGTGTTTAGCATTTTTAAGTGTTCAGTGTTTTCTCATTCTTTTTCATGGTCTGGTCTGTGAACAGAATTCTGTCTCTTTGGTGATGGAGCCTCTAGTAAGGGCCTGATGGACCTTGCATTCTTTTGTTCAGGGGATGCTTCTACCCTTCATTTGTGTTACACTTCTGTTTTTGACTCCTTGCTCCTGCTATATTCCCACCGATAAGAAGGTGATTCGTGACACTCCCTCTCTACTGTTTATTCTCTTTTTAAAAACATTCTCCGGTTTACTTAAAGTTACTTTAAATTATCCCTTTCAAATGAGATCTTTCCAGTTCAGAGTCCTGCTCCCATTTGAAAAGCGTGATCTGGATGTAATGAATGCACAGTTCACTGACCAAAATGGTTAAGCTCCCTGCTGGGGAGATGAGCCCCCAGAATCCCCATTCAGTAGGTTTCCCCTCCTGTGTGCCCCCTGCGGTCCTTGGACAGATGTCCATTCATCCCAAGACCTGAGGCTCTGATCTGCAGCGGCTTTTGGTGTCAAAGGGGCGAGCCTTGTTGTAGCTGCCAGATCTGAGCAGATCTAACTCTGCAGAGAGACTCCCTCTCCCCCAGCCTCACTGCAGTATTTTTATCCTGTCTCTTCTAATGTGCTGTCTCTTCACGACCCCAGTTCACTGTGCTGGCTGGGACGTGATGGCGTATTTATTTCTGTTTGCCAGTAGTTGTCAGGGTGATGGTGATGATGCTAAAAACGTAAGACGTAAGCGCTGCCGAGCAGAATGTGGAACACTGCCTGCGTTCCTGCTTCCGGTGTGTTTGTAAAATGTAGTGTATTTCCGGGACAAAATCATGCTAAGTCATTTGCTTCTTAGAGCATTTTCGGTTATTTTTAATTAGGCTTTTTGGCTGTAGGTAGATTCTGGTGGCCGCTCATCCTCACGAGGCCCAGTACTTCCAGAAGCAGATCAACAGATGCTACGGGATTTGATGAGTGATGCTATGGAGGAGCTTGACCTGCAGCAGGCCACTGCGTCTGCACAAGGCCAGTCTAACGGTAGGATGGGCCCGGCCTTCTTCCCCCGGGAGCTTCGGGGCCGTAGTTGAGCCTTACGTTATTTGTACGCATATACATTCTTCAGCAAGTAACTTAGTAACGAAAAGACAAGTCTGAGTTTGGGTGGATATTTATTAGTCAATCAGCTTGTGTTTATCGAGTGTCTAGTAGATAAACGACACTGGCCGGGGTGTTGTGGGGGACACAGATTAAACGGAAAACGGAGCTTATCTTTTCTGTTGGCATAGAGTTTCATAAAACAGATCGGCACTAAATCAAACTGATGCTCTTACTTAGAACGATTGAGAAACGACATGAGAAAGAGCTTCAGAAAGTGTCACCATCCCCCAACTGCTGTTCAGGAGGGATGGGAACCATCTCATTAGACTTCAATGCAAGTGACATGAATTGGCTTTTCAAGAGTGGATAGGGTTTAGGTATGTGGAAGGGACAGGAGGTAATCTTGGCAGGATCATGAACGTTGACAGAGGCACGGAAGCATGCACAAGCCTTAATTATCTCACAGCCCAGGCGGTTACTGGAGCGCAAGCTCCCTTCTCATTGAAAAGAATTGGCCAGTAAAGGTGGAGAGGCGGGGAGGAACCAGCCGGTGAGAGAGCCTTGATAGCCAGACTGAAGCATCTAAATACTTTGAAGCATCCATCTAAAAAGTGTTTGTTTTCTAATTGGATGAACGTAGTCATTTCTACATATTCTAAAATCTTAATTTTAAAAGATTATCTCCTGGTGTTAGAAAAGTTTAGCGTTAAATGTTGCTTTGGTTCTAATTTAGAATAAATTAGAACTCAGGAAACAAACAGGAACTTTTAGCTTCCTGTGTGTGCTACATTATCTGTAATAAACATTAGCAGCTAACCTCCTTATGTGGGAAAGAATATTTCACGAATATTTACTGGACAGCTTCAGTATTCTGGTGCACCAGGCACTTACAAGGGATGAGTAACTTAGAAGAATTTAAAATCTGGTCTGGGAGCCTCTTGAGGCTAAAATGGCACTTTCTCCATCTTCGCGTTCTCCATCCATCCAGTGGTTGGAATGACTGAATGGAGAAAGACACGTGGGAGAAATGCATAAAAACGTACGTTCACATTCAGGTTTGGCACACGTGCGGTCTTTTGTGAACTTCACGTTGACAGGGCTACCTGAGAACAGGTGTCCCGTTGGGCTATCCAGCACCGGATGAAGTAGCCCGTCCGTCACACGGCACCACTCCCTGGCCGAAAACCGCGTGGCCGCTGTTTCCAACCCATCCCCCTCCAGAAGCAGAGATTTCCTGTAGTCTTTAGGGGAGGGACGGCCACACGTAACCACTTTCCCTCCCCTTGCGTTATTGTCCCAGAAGCTTCTTCCAGAGCTCCACCCACAGGACAGAGCTGTTCATATGAAAATCTGGCTTTAAGGAACCTCCAGTCAACACTAATCAGCTGCTGCCGAATTTCTGAGCTTCACTGATGCCAAATAACTGAGAGGAGAGTCTCTATGACTTTATGAGACCGTCGTTCACTGTTTGCTTGGAGAACATCAAACTTATTGTCAGTTTCCTTAGTAGTGGCCAGAGGGTTATTGTCAGACAGAAATGAGATATGGCCGGTGAAAACATTCAACACAGTGTGCAGCTGACATGTGGTTAAAATGGTTACCAAGCATTACTGTCGATGTTTCAAAATGTGCCAAAATTGAGTGGTTTTTGTTTTTTTTTTGGTTTTTGTTTGTTTTACCTAGGTGTTTTGAGTGAAAAATCTCAGGTCCAGGAGCCATGTTGTTCAGACCTCTTCCTGTTTCCAGATGAGAGTGGGAACATGTCTCAGGAGCCCGGCCCTGCTTACACCTCATTCACACACCACCTGATCAGTGATGCAATGACAGGTGCTCCCACTGAGAATGACGACTTTTGCATTCTTTTTGCACCAAGAGCAACTATTCAGGTAATAAATGGATCATGTAACTGAGGCCTTAAGGTAGTGTTACAAGTAAAATTGACCAAAGGGTACCTGAAAAAGAGTCTTTAGGTTTTATTTTAACTCTTTGTAGTTGAGAATGACTTCATTTTGTAATTTATTATGGAGGCTTTGCAAATGTCTGCTATACTTTACTATTTCTATGACACGTTTCTCAGAAACTCAGAGAAGAACGCTCTATGTTTGCAAAATTTTCCACATAGATTATTAAGCTGCAGATGTTGTGGGTAGTAAGATAGCTCTTCAGAGTATTAAAGTGGCAGAAAAGAGTGCTGTCTAGAGTTGCTAGTCCAAGAATTGGGAAAGATAAGATCTGGTTTGTGTGAAGGCTGATGGATGGTTGACACGTATCATTTCCATGTTAGACTCATGCTCACATTAATGTATTTATTTTTAATGTTTGTTTATTTTGAAAGAGAGGGAACGAGTTGGGGAGGGGCAGAGAGAGAGAGAGAGAGAGAGAGAGAGAATCCCAAGCAGGCTCTGCACTGTTAGCTCAGAGCCTAATGTGGGGCTTGATCTCACGAACCATGAAATCATGACCTGAGCCGAAATCGAGAGTCATAGGCTTAAGTGACTGAGCCACCCATGTGCCCCAGAGAGTCATGCTCATATTTAAAAAGGATGGTCTGGATTTAATGAATCCACAGTTTACTAAAATGGGTAAGCATTGGTGCTGAAATGGAACTTTATGCATCACCATTTAGTGTATATATGTGTTAAACTGCTCAGTAGTGACTTGGCAGGTATGTGTATTTGTTTTACTACATCCTGGGAAACTAAAAAGCAGTCAAACTCTCAACAAGTTCATTATGAGGATCATGGTAATTTGGTCAGCATGTTGAAGTACGTTAAGTTTGAAATGTAATATTGACTTTGAATTAGAGAACTATACAGCCCCCTCCACATACACACAGATAGACACTTGCTATATCTGTGCCTTTTTTATTATCAAACAAATAGTAAAAGCCAAACTGAAGACTATAAAAATTTTTTATGGAATGATTTACGTAGAACAGAAAGTCCAGTTTATGGTTAATGCAGAGTATCCAGCGTGGTGATTACTACATTGTAACTAGCCCCGTTTTGTACATTGAAATTATTGTTAAAAAGAATGCAGAATCAAGAAATCTTGAGATAAGCAGCGTAATCAGTGGTTTGTACTGCGACAAGATAGGATGTGTTCCCTCTTTCTTTGTTGTAGGAGAAGGAAGAAGAACCAATTGTAAAAATAATGGTTGATGATGCAATTGTAATAAGAGAGAATTATTTTAGTCAGCCCATTAAGAAGACAGATACAAGCAAAGCCCCATTGCACTTTCCCATCCCTGTCGTCCGGTATGTTGTTAAAGAAGTCTCTCTTGTTTGGCATCTTTATGGAGGAAAGGATTTTGGAACGGTCCCTCCTACTTCTCCGGCTAAAAGTTATATGTAAGTTGATTTCTACAAGAAGTTTTCTTGTTTCTACAAGTTTCTACAAAAACTTACTAGAAGTTTTTTGTTTTGTTTTTTTTTACAGGCCACTATGTTCTTTTCACAGCATACGTAGAATTTGTCATTTTAAGGAGTATTAATAAAGGAGTATTGAAAACTATGTAATTTAAGTTACTCCTTTAATATAAAAGCTCTTCATTTGTAAACTTATTCGCATTGTTTGTATGTTTACCAAACTAAGGCAACTTAAGTGATTTCCATTCAGCACAATTTTGGGGCACCTACCCTGTGCCAGAGCCTGTGTTAGAGGCACGTTCACCAAAATGAGTAAGACCCAGGCCCTGGCCTCCATTCAGAAGGACCATTATGTGAGCAGGTGAGGGCAGTGCAGTAAAGCCTGTGCCTCAGGAGGCAGGGACCATGTGTGCCCTTGACTCTCTCGGGCATCCCGCTGGGTGCTAGGCTAGGGCTCGAGGCTCCTGAAGTACTTGTTCAATGTGTGTTTGGCTTTGACACATAGAAATACAGTTTGTGGCAACATGTTGATGGTTCTATAATCTTAATTTTCTCTTTTTATCTTACTGTTTTTCCTGAGGTCATTCATTGCCTTTCTTTGAATATTCCTGCAACAAAAGGTTTTGTTGTTGTTGTTGTTGTTGTTTGTTTTTTCTCCATTTATAGCAGTCCTCACAGCTCACCTTCTCACACACCCACGAGGCATGGACGTAACATGGTGTGTGGGGGAAAAGGAAGAAACCATGACTTTTTAATGGAAATACAGTTAAGCAAGGTGAGATGGCAGTTTGAAGGAAAAAAGCCCCTGAAGTGGGAGCACTGATGGGGGTTTGGAGTCACGCCCCCACCTTGTGGTCTTGAGCCACCAGCCCCACGCCTCTGGATTGGACAAGTGCAAGGGGTCCTGTAAAACTTTTACCTCTTTTTCTTTCTTAAGTGTTCTGAGAAGTTTGAGGGGGTTTTGTGTTTTCCCAGGCTTTCCCTAGAGGAGTGTCTCTCAGAGTTGAGCAGGGGTCAGAAGCACCTTGAGGGCTTGTTAAAACACAGGTTGCTGGGCCCCAGCGTTTCTGATCCAGTAGGTCTGAGGTGGGGCCCGTGAATTTGCATTTTTAATGAGTCCCCAGGCGATTCTGATAACTCCCTTTTCCAGGCCCACACTTGGGGAACCACTGCCTTTGAGTGTCTGTCTATGTGAGAGGGCCTGCCGTTGGATGGCACCTCTGTCGGTCCCTCATGAATGTCAGGGACCAGTATGTTCAGGCCACCAATGACATTATATGCATTTAATCCTTTCAGCTTGTCTGGGATTGTGCCCAGTGTCATATATTGGGGTACTTAACATAGGAATATTGTAGTGAGGATCGTCCCCCCCGCCTCCCTCTTTGGGACTTGAACCCTGCATGCATCGATTCCCTTTCAAGCAATTTCATAGGTACGCAAGGTGCTGATCGTGTGTATTACTCCTGTTGAGGGTTTTGCCTGAAAAGGATAGGGAGTTTGCCAAGATCAAATAAGAAATGTCACTCAAGCTTATCCTTGTCGGGGACACATAGATCAATAAATACGTGAACAAATAAAGAACTGTTATGTTCTCCGAAAGTGAGAATTCAAAAAATGGTGAGGGATATTTTGCGTTTGAAAGAGGAATTCTAATTTGAATAAAAAGTAAAAATTGCTGTGTGTTCCTTCTTGGCTGTGAAGGTGAAGTTTCAGCACGAGGTCTACCCCCCTTGCAAGCCGGAATGCGAGTCCAGCCTCTTAGAGCACCCAGTCTCCCGGCAGGTGTTCATCGTGCAGGATCTTGAAATTCGAGATCGTCTGGCAACATCACAAATGAATAAGTTTTTGTACCTGTATTGCAGTAAAGAGATGCCCCGAAAAGCTCATTCCAACATGGTAAGATTCAAGGCCTCCTATTTTCTGTCATTATATTAGTTTTGGAAAAGTGTTTTTATTGTATCTAACTGCAGATTTAGACTGGGGAAAATTGCTGGGTTGGTTTTTTTTTTTTTTTTTCATTTTAACATGAAAATCCCTTTTAAATATGCTGCTTAAAGTTTTATGTTTTAAAAATTATTTTACACGTCAGTTGGAGGGTCCGTTAATTATAATTGCCAGTATATTGATGCCTGAGGAAAACCAGAAGTCCATAGTGATCTACACAGAATACTTAGTGTTGCTGGAAGCTGGAAATGTTCCAGATTTCGAACAGTTTGCAAGTTTTAGTGGAATAGAAATGATTCGCTCAGGCTCGCTGGAAGAAAACGTCATAGCAGCCGTCTTTGGAGTATGGCTGTAGTCAGCTTCAGGGACCCAGCAAACCCCCGGGAGACGACACCGTCACCCGCATCTTGTCCACTAAGGAGAATCCATACCTCTCATGAGATTCTTCAGGGAGCGTGTGACCCAGAAAAGTCTGAGTCAGGCTCCTAAGGGAAAAGGTCAACAACTCCACTTCTAGTTCTCGTGTCAGAAAGAGAAATGGGATTTTTTTTTTTCTTTTCTTTTCTGTTTGTCCTTTTTAAATGAAAACGAGGTTGTAATGTCATGGGGGGGGGGGGAATGTTTTTCTCCTCTCGTAGTTGACAGTGAAAGCGTTACATGTGCGCCCGGAGTCTGGCAGGTCACCGCAGGAATGCTGCCTAAGAGTGTCACTGATGCCACTTCGCCTCAATATTGATCAGGTTTGTACCGCAAACATTCTTGAGGGAGTTGAGATTTTAAAAATGTCCCGCATCCGGAAGAAGAGGTTCAATTTAGGAGAATTAAAATGTTTACGATTTCACTTTTACGGAAGTTGCGTAGCTGAAGCAGAGTTCTGCTGGTGAGGAGCAGGGCGGACTCATTAGGCGTTTGGGACCTGCTCTGTTGGTGGGTAAACATTCGATGTTATTCCCTGTCTCCTCGTCGCGTGCGTGCCGCAGCACTGAGTACCTGCTTCCCACGCTCTCATCCTCACGTACACACGCTTGTGCAGGTAAACGGGTGTTTTCAGGGAGTGTTAAAGGACTCCTATCTGTGATTGAAAGATAAGAGCGCGGGGCGCCTGGGTGGCGCAGTCGGTTAAGCGTCCGACTTCAGCCAGGTCACGATCTCGCGGTCCGGGAGTTCGAGCCCCGCGTCGGGCTCTGGGCTGATGGCTCAGAGCCTGGAGCCTGTTTCCGATTCTGTGTCTCCCTCTCTCTCTGCCCCTCTCCCATTCATGCTCTGTCTCTCTCTGTCCCAAAAATAAATAAACGTTGAAAAAAAAAATTTAAAAAAAAAAAAAAAAAAAAAAAAAAAAAAAAAAAAAAAAAAAAAAAAAGAAAAGAGCGGTTGTGTCTTTTTTATTTTTTTTTAATTAAATTTTTTTTTTAATGTTTATTCATTTTTGAGAGAGAAATAGAGCATCAGTGGGGGAGGGGCAGAGAGAAGGAGACGCAGAATCTGAAGCCGGTACCAGGCTCTGAGCTGGTGACACAGAGCCCCATGCGGGGCTCGAGCTCAAGAACCTTCGAGATGATGACCGGAGCCAAAGCGGGACGTTTAACTGACTGAGCCACCCAGGCGCCCATGAGCGGTTTTGTCTTAACCGCAGCACCTGGAAGAGAATTCCTACTGCCCTGGGCAGAGTGGCAGATCACTAAATTGGTACCTAAAGAGATCACACGCAGCAGAGATTTGTGGAAAAACATAAAGAAATGCACTTTGCCGTGTTTTAGCAAGCATCCCATCAAATTATTGCGGGTTTTGCGTTGACTCGGCTGTGTAAAACCTGGCTGGCACCTCTTGGGCACACTCGTTCAAGGTGCACGACCACGTGGTGCTTCAGAGGGGTGCGGCCTGGCGGTGCGGGGCCCGGGCTCGGGGTTTGCATCTCGGTTCTCTTGTCCTGGTTGTGTGGCTCCGGGCACGTTCTTTCTCCACGCCTCTGTTTCTTTGCTGGTAGAATCCAAGTAATAGATGTAGCATCAGTTGTAAAAATGAAGATTGAATAAGATGGTGAGCGTTAAATATTTAGCTTCGTGCCTGTCGCACGGTGTTAAAGGTCTGTTGTTCTTACTAACCGAAGCACGTGACAACAGAGAAAATAAATGGAGTTGTTAGAATAGCCTGCTTTTGAAATAACAAAACTGTCCCGTCCCAGCCTACGTTGCTGTGAGCTCAGGTTTGAAGTAGAGAGTATGTGGGACAGCATTATTGGTTTGCTTAAGTAGTATGGATTGAATAATGGTGACTTATCTAAATAAGTAGCAGATATTTCAGGAATAATGTATCAATATTTATATCATAAAATATAGGCATTTCTCAGAAAAGTCTCGTGAAGCGCAGAAGTTCAGCACGGCTTTACATCAATACTGGTCGCTTCTGAGCTGGGACGGTCCTGCTGATGCGCACTTGAGATTTATGTTCTCTCGTTAGGAGAAGAATATCTGTGCATACCCGTATTTTAATTTGGTCCATCCATACATTGGCCTGTATTGGAATAGGAATACGATGAAGTATTTATGGGAAGTTTGATCCGTGGAACTCACTAGCCTGACCAAGAATTTGTGCGAGATGCGTCTTTATAGCATGACTTTGCCAGACTTAGCCCGGTTTCCTTTAATATGCTTTTTTCTTTAATAGTGGGCTTAATTTCTTACTCAGAGCTATAAAGCATTGTGATTTTGAAATGGGAAAATATTAACCGTTGAGAAAACAGAAATAACTGTTATGGTGTAACTGAGGAGTAGCAGGAAATAATTCCCCAAGATGTGAACCCTAGGAGAACACAGCCATGCTCCCAAGTGTTGGGGAGGGATTCACTGCGCCGACCCCCCCCCCCCCCCCCCCCCCCCCCGCCACCTTAGTTTGAGATAGCAAATGGTCATCTGGATAGAAAACCAATTACTCGCATTCTCCGTGTTTTCTTTTGAAAACAAATCAGTTGAACGACTGTGCTTTGAGTAATATTTTTCTCAGCGAACATATCTCTGACTTTATTAACTGGATCAAGTATGAAAGCCACACAGTTTTCTCACGTTCTCAAAAAGCTGCATTGCCGTTGAAGTTCAGTGCCATTGCTTCCAAAGCTCGGTGTACCCGTAGGGCAGGCAGGATACCAGGTGGAAGGGGTGGTTTTCGTCTGGGGGAGGGTAAGTAGATGATGACGGTCGTATAAGTCGGCAGTTTGGGATCTGAAATATGAAGAGGCCAGATTGCCTGACTCTCCTAGTCTGGGATCCATTTCAGTGTCTCACTGCCTGGAAATCTGCATAGGGAAGACATGCTTATTAACCCCAGATCATCTGCTGGATGCCAGCCTTGTCCCAGCTTCTGTGCTAAGATGTTGGAGATACGAAGCTAGGCAAACACCCATCCTCAAAGACCTCTGTACGGGGCGGTGGGGGTGGGGGGAGGACCAACATAAAACAGAGGACTTTTTAAACACCCTGTGGTGAGTACAAGTAGTAAAGATAGGCAGAGCATGTTACACCCCAGCAGAAAGGGCTCCTTAGCCGTCTGGGAGTTTAGAAGAGTGTGGAGGGTAATCAGGAAAGGCTTTCTGGAGGAGGTGACACTTGAGGTGGGTCTTAAGGAATGCAGTGGAGTTAGTCACACGAAGCTTTTTGTAAAGGCATTGAGGGTCTAGTTCAGGGTGTGAGAGGACGTGTGAGGCCATTCTGGTAAGGTGAGTTTGTGCTTGGCTGAGGTTGGAAACGGTGAATACATGGCAGGGCCAGTTTGCATATTGGTGTTTTTTTTAGCATCATTGCTTGGTTGCCTGAGTCTGAGTATGACACGAAAATTAATTATTTTAACACTTTAAGTCATATCGTACTGTTAATATCTTGTATCATAGCACCTTAAAGCTAGAATAACTATAGTCTGTTTGCAAAAATAATAAACCAAGTTTTTTTTTAAACTTTTAAGAAATTGATTGTATGGAGGTATAATTTGCATACAGTAAAGTGCCAGGATATTAGGTTTACCATTGGAGCTTGACTAAGATACACACGTGAGTAACTACTACACCAGTTGAAATAGAGCACATTTTCTGTTCCCTTCAGAGTCCCCCGGGCCCCTTTGCAGTCGGTCTCCTCCAGTAGCCATTGACCTCCTTCCCGTCCCCACGGGTCAGCCTTCCTGTCCCACTACTTTGTGTGAGTGGAAATGTATTTGGCTTCCCATGCCATGCGCTCCCTCTGTGCTGAGGCAGGTCTGTTTGTTTCTGTTCAGTCTGTTCCCTTTTATTGCCGAGTACGGATCTCACCGTACGGCTGTACCACAATTTGTGTATCCGTTTACTTACTGATTTACATTCGCATGGTTTTCTCGGTTTTGGCTCTGATAAATAGAGCTGTTATGAAGTTAGTGTACAAATCTTCTTGTGGATCTGGGTTTCCATTCGTGTTGGGTATTGTAAACAGTTTCCAGGTCACGAGGCAGATGTGTGTTTAACTCTTGTGAGAAGCTGCCTGTTCCCCGCAGCGGTTACACCATCGTATGCCCCCACTGCAGCAGGTGAGAGCTGCCTCTTCTTCACACTCTGGCCAAACTTGGTGTTGTGTGTTGAACTGTCTTATTTGGTGTTCATTGTGGTTATAATTTGGATTTCCCCTGATGATGGTGCTAAGCATCTCTTCATGTGCTGCTTTGACATTTGTACACTTATTTGTGAAGGGTCTGTTTCTGGCTAGTTTTAAAATCAGGTTTTATCGAGTTGTAAAGAGTAGCATAAATAACAAAATCAAAACTTCTAAGAACATTGAAACGCTGGTGATTAGTACTTTTCTGTGTTGTGCATTTGTAGTAAAAATGGATAAAAGCCGCTGTCTCTGTAGTCTTCCTTTTTTTAAAAAAAATGTTTATTTTGAGAGAGCGAGAGAGAGAGCACGCAGCACAGGGGAGGGGCAGAGAGAGAGAGTGAGTCCCAAGCAGGCTCTATGCTGTTAGCACAGAGCACGACGTGAGGCTCAAGCTCAGGTTCTGCGAGATCGTGACCTGAGTCGAGGTCAAGAGTCAGATGCTTCACCGACTGAGCCACTCAGGTGCCCCTTTTAGAGTATATTTTTACCTAGAGTTTTCTCTTACTAGTATTTTTTTTTGAAGGCAGTCATGGAGTCAAAGCATTTATAGTGTTAAAATATCGCCATCTAGCGGTCCAATAATGACAGGTAACATTTAGGTTAACTTGAACATCTAGTTCTCGATACACATATTAAATGTGTGTATATATACATACATACGTGTATCTGCATATTATTATGTAATGTAAATAACAAGTTATATTCGTGTGCAAAGCATAATAAAATAATGAACAAATCATGAACCGACTACCCTACTGCAGAACCAGAATATTTCCGTAAGTAGCTGCTTATTCTTCAGCCCCATCCTTCAGTCTCCCATATGCCATGTTACCTAGGAAAATACCTGTCTAACTTCCATCATTTATACTTCTGGTGAATGTGGTTACTAGTTGATCAGATCCCTTGGAATTACCAAACTTTCGGTATGCCACCAAATATTGTGCCCTGTAATTGACTGTCACATCGCTTTTTCTGGTGCGATATTAACGTGTTATATTTATTTAGGATTTTTCCAAAGGCAAGGGAAGAATTAGAAAGAAGAGGCTCAGGCATTTCATTTTCATATTTTCCAAAATGGATTTGTTGGTTTGAGGGAGGGAGGTAAAATGCGGCTGCTAATAATGGGCAAATAGGGTTTATTCAGATGACATCAAGACAGGCCTGTGCATTTTTGTTACTATGTAATTTCAGAAGAGACCATACTGAGTGGGCTTACTGATTCCGAGTGCCCTGTTCCAGGAAGAACATGTATTAAGGCAGCATAACATGGCAGTAAGGGCAACATTAAGACAGTGAGAACTTGTGCGGCCCCAGCTGTTGCTCGTGTCGGTATTACCACCACCGCCGGTTTGCGGTGAGAACTAGTGTTGAAGACCGAGAATGCTGTATTTCCAAGAAAACTAAAATTTGTTTTGATTCAGAAATAGCTATGTAATTTTTAACCCCTCTGTGTCTTAATTTTCACATTTGATTTTCTCAGGGTTGGGAGAATTAACAGAATGTGTGTGTGTGTGTGTGTGTGAGAGAGAGAGAGAGAGAGAGAAAATGAGAGAGAGAGAGAGAGAAAGGAGCAACGCCTGACACAGTAAAAATTGTAGATGAATAAGAAGTCAAATATGGGACTGTAAGACACTTTGCTTTTTAGTTTTAGAATCAATCTGCCTTTCCCTTCCCTTCCCTTCCCTTCCCTTTGGTTATAATTGCATCTTTTCATTTTAGGACGCTTTGTTCTTCCTGAAGGATTTCTTCACGAGTCTTTCGACAGAAGTAGAGCTTCTCATGGCTCCAGATCCAGAAGGTATTAAATATGTGTAGTTTGAAAATGTCTATAACAAGTGCTTGGATTGATTTGTTCTGAAGCCTATTTGAGAGGGTATTTCCAGTCTTCATTCCGATTTATAAAAGTGTGTTTTGTGTGTGTTTTTCATATTTCGCGAATGTAGTATATCTGAAAGTGACATCTTAAAAGGCGGAAGTCCGTTTTCTCTGTAGCGGTAATTGTGTTTATTAAGTGAAACATAGCAACACAAGTTACAGCTACCTGGATTTTAAGCGGGTGCTCTGAAGAAGCACAGCGGGTCTTCAACGTGCACGTTACTTTTGCAGTTAAGAAGTCTCCTGGAGCTGATGTCACCTGCAGTTTGCCGAGGCATTTAAGCACCTCAAAGGAGCCAAATCTCGTTCTTTCTTTCCCTGGGCCGAAGCAGCCTTCCCAGAACACCAGTGTCAGCTCCGTGGAAGTGGTTAACAGGGAGGAACAGAAGGACTTCTCAGCTGAAGAAGCAGCAGTTAGTGATCAGCCTGTGTTTTTTAGGTAAATCACTTAATTTGGATAACAAGTAAAGCTATTTTAGACTTTTGAAGGTTTATTATTATTATTTAATGTTTATTTTGAGAGAGGGTGCGAAAGCCGGGCTGGTGGGGGTGCGGCAGAAAGAGAGGGAGGGAGAGAGAATCTCAAGCAAACTCTGTGTTGTCAGCGCAGAGCCCGATACGGGGCTCAAACCCACGAACCATGAGATCATGACCTGAGCCAAAATCAAGAGTCGTACGCTCAACCGACTGAGTGCCCCGCCCGCCTCCCCCCGTACCCCCCACCCCGTGCCTCCCCCCCCAAACGCCACCAGGTGCCCCTGCAGGTTGTTCTCGAATGTGTTCATGTATCACTCCCTAATCGTGAGATTACGCCAGCTTTTCTGTGCCTGCCAGACCGTCGACTGGTGTGTTTATTTACAGGCGGGCCTCACGCATCCCGCACCCCTTGATTACACACAGCAGCCCTGGCTCAGGAGCCCTTCCTCCGGATCTTTTCTGGAGCAGGAATGTCCTTTTCCTCTTAGCTGCCGCTTCCCCCTCCTCGGCCCTCTTCCCAGCCCCTGTGATGGCATATTTGCACCTCCTCAAACATGGTGTCCTTTACATACCTTGGCTTCCTGCGCTTCCTCCTCCCATGTGAGAACTTTCTGCGGTTTTCCTTCTGCCCTTCCCCAGCACCGTCCTGTCTCTCCTGACCCTTCGCTCCCCAGCTCAGTCGGCACTGTCAGGAAAGTCCAGTCCCCTGTGCAGCTGCCGTCTGCTGGAGTTACTGCCCCACGGCCCAGCCAGCCACTTGCACGTCGCAGTTTGTCCTTCGCTTCCTGACCCGTTCGTTCTCCCCGTCTTCCTTCTTTCCCAGCCCTTGATGGTGGGCGTGGAGCCTTGGCTCTTTGGAAGGAGCGAGGATGATGACCAGGCCACCTGTGTTGTGAGGGACTGTCAGCTACTCCCCTCGTTTTCTGTACTCCTGCTGACATCGATGGTCCCCAAGTTCTGTCTTTCCACGTGGACTTCAGGTTACCCTTTGGCTATGGCTCAAAGCAGGCAGTGTAACTATTTTAAAGTACTTTCATGTTTTATATATCTTCTGTACTCTAGGAACTAGGGAAAAAAATAACCGAATATGAGAATTGGAAAGATCCTGGGAGAGATGATCTCTGGTGGTTCCAGACCTTTCACCATGAAAGAAGGATCTCTTTTATTTTGTTTCTACAAAGAAACTGTGTACCCGAAGTAATCATTTGAATACCGGTTTGTTTTTTTGTGAACACTGGATAACCTGTCCAAAAGAAATTGAATTGTTAACAGTTCTGGCCTTAAAAGCAAAGAGTTTGGATGCTTTTTATTTAGTCAGCTTGTGTCGCCTTACTTACTTAAGCAAATGTTTATTTTTATCATTAGACTATTTAAAATTGCTTACAGACTTCTGTGTGTGTATACACTCAAAAACTCCTAGAGGGCCTAGGACCCTGGGGTGGTAGTTAGTGGTATAACCCAGATTTCTCCCTTCATAGACGAGGAAGTTAATGCCCAGAGAAGTGAGTTGACTTGCTCAAGACCACACAGTTAGTGGCCAAGACCAGAACACAGGTCTTCATCCCAAATCCAGTGCGTTTTCTAAGTGATGGCCTAATAGCTCCCCCTCCCCCAACCATTCCATAATACTTACTGAGCTCTTGCTCTGTGTATGCCAGCTCTTGTCCTAGGCACAGTGAATAAAGTAGAGAAAAATCCCTATACAGTTGACATTACGAGTAAATAAAATAGATGATTTGTCATATTCTGTGCCATGGGGAAAAAAGTGTGGACGGAGGAGGCAGGCGTCAAGGGGCTGTTGCCGAGAAAACCAAATGGAGAAACCACATGGAGATGTGTATTTGGAAGACGGGGGATGACCTGGGGTCCCAGGCTCCTTGTAGTGACTGGTGGAAATACAGCACTTCCATTTGACTGTGGGTTAAACTGGGCTTTTGTGGAATGGCTTAGGATATAAATGCAGACATTAACTCTGTGGAAAAATTGTGTTTCAAGTCCATTGTGCAGTCCAGCTTGGGGAAGTCCGCTTCTTCTGTTTGAGGTATACCATCGGTATATAATTATGACTTCATTGTCACAGAACTCCCAGTGTCTGTATGTTGGTACCCTGTTTATCAGCATTAATGTCAAGAATGCTCACTAAAATCCACCAGCGTAGGTGGCATTTTAAAAATTTAGTGACTTGGGGTGCTTGGGTGGCTCGGTTGGTTGAGCGTCCCGACTCTTCATTTCAGCTCACGTCATGATCTCAGGGTCGTGGGATCGAGCACCCTGTCGGGCTCTACGGCGAGTGTGGAGCCTGCTTGACATTCTCTCTCTGCCCCTTCCCCCTGCTCCGCTCTGTCTAAAATAAAAAGTAAAAAATAAAAAAAATAAAAATTTACTGACGAAGATGTTTAGGTTCGGAGTTTAAGTTCCTTGCCCACGATCGCATCACATATAACTGGTAAAACTGGAATTCGTGGCTGGGTTTTCTGGCACTTTCTGCTTCACCATGGAGCTTAAATCCCTTACTCTTTTTTTACTTCTTGGTAATGATTATATCATTTGGTTTAATCTTGAAGGTTGCTTTTATCAGTTTGTTCCCTGTATAAATGGAGAATATCTGCCAGAATGAATTTTTCTAAAGTAAACATTATTTAGTAAACTAGGAAAATGTTTTTGTGAGGAAAATTTAAGTAAATCTAACGTAGAATGTGATAAACATCAGTTAAGTTGTTATATTACCTTAAGAAAAGGTAGAGCTGAAAGACATTCCCCTTTATTTAGGCTTTGAGATACTTATATCCACATTATTTTGTGGCTTCGTTTTTTATTCTCCAATTGAATACATTTAACTTCTAATTTCAGCTGTTAGTACTTTCGAATATAAATAACTCCCTTTCTCTGTCTTTAGAGAATTTAGATTCACATCAGAAGTTCCTATTCGACTTGATTATCACGGCAAACACGTGTCAATGGATCAGGTTCGGAAACTTTGTATAAATATACTCTACAAAATTATCTCCTTTGTTTTTTTGTTTTCTAATTATCTCTTTGTTTTTCTTTGTTAGGAGTTAATTTTTAAACCTTTCCTGTCATAGTTTATGTGTGTTTGAAATGATGTGCAAGATTTTAAAATTCTGTTTTTAAAGTAAACGTCATTTAAGAACCCATGAGTACAGTTGTTATAAGTTGTGTCATATGTCCTGTTGTGTATTTTTTTTGTTGTAAATATTTTAAGTGTTCTAGCTTTATTCGTGAGTGAATGTTACTTTGCTTTTCCCAAATAACAACTATTTTAAATGTGAGGTCTCTCGATCTACACATTAATCTGTTTTAAATCCTAAAGGGCACGCTAGCAGGGATCCTGATCGGTCTGGCCCAGTTAAACTGCTCGGAACTGAAGCTGAAGCGCCTTTTCTACCGTCATGGGTAGGTTGACTTAGTACATGAGGCTTTATGGTATGGTTACTACAGTTAGTTTACAACAAATTGAATGTTGAGTTTTCTTAAACAAATAAATTAATTACTTTACAGTATTGTCTGCAGAGAGCTCGTTTTTAGAGGACGCTTCCCAATTAGGGGCTACTTTTTATTCTGAGAGAGTACTAGTAGTTTGGACAGAGAAGGATTTTTCAAAAACAGCTATAGTTATTTTTAAATAATTTCCCAAAGTTGTAAATCAGTTTATTTAGCAAAAAGACTGGACATTCATAGCATGATGGTTCTTAGTAGCTGGGAGCCCTGTAGCAATTTATAGACATTGAATTAATCTGATGCCAGAATAAAATTAATCCCTGGATGCTCAAGAAATTAGAGCAGTGGAAGAACACACTTCTACTGGTTACCTAAGCCTCACAGAAATTACTGATGTTAAACCAGATTATATGTGTATACATACATCCGTGTGTAATATATTCAGACTGAATATCTACAATATCTGAACCTGCAAATCTCTTTTCTGTGTACTAATAGTCATTTGCTCTAGCTTGCTAGGTGTTGACAAATTGTTTTCGTATGCCATCACCGAATGGCTCACGGACATTAAGAAGAACCAGCTACCGGGGATCTTGGGAGGCGTTGGGCCTATGCACTCTCTAGTACAATTAGGTGAGTTTTCTTTTTTAATCAAAAGATGATTTCTTTTGCCTGATCTGTAATTCTTAACCCTTTTGGAGTTCGTGGATGCCTCTGAGAGTCTTTGTGCGGGCCATCTTTCTAGAAAATTCACGTGCGTGGTCATGCACACCTGTAAGAGCACTTGGCCTCCCATTTCAGGTTAAAAACCCCAGGGTGAGAGTGACAGCAGAGACCCGGGCTCCATCGCTCCTCCTGATTTCCCTGTATCGACTGTCGTTCTAGTGCAAGGCCTGAAGGACCTGGTCTGGTTACCCATTGAGCAGTACCGGAAGGACGGGCGCATTGTCAGAGGGTTTCAGAGAGGCGCCGCCTCCTTTGGCACTTCCACAGCGATGGCTGCTCTAGAACTCACAAACAGAATGGTTCAAACCATACAGGTATCTCCCCACAGCCTGCCTTCCTCTGTACAGAGAGGAGGACTTATTGTAAAATGGTTGGGGTTTTTTTTTTGTTTGTTTTTAAAATGATATTGTGAAAGTATACAAAATGCTGGAGTAGGTATTTTATTTATGATGAGTTAATTTTTTATTTTTTTATTGCTTAGCTTTCCAGTGTTAAATAATTAGTAGAATAAAGAAGTGGAATGCCATGTCAAATTTGTTTGCCTGTTTCAGTTAAATTATGACCTTTAAGGTAGTCGAGGATTTATTTTGCCTCATTTATATGAAAAGATCATAGCTAAACGTAAAGAAATCATTGCAGATCAAATAGCAGATGTATTAAGGTTTGTTGCATTAACTATTGAGCTCTAGTTGACCTTGTCTAGTTGTTCACAGACAGGGCATTCTTGACTAGCCTGGTAACATGGAGAGTGTTCTCTGAGGACAGAGGAGCCACTGAAAAAGTCTGATCAATCCAGATATTAATTTTTTTTAACGTTTATTTTTGAGAGAGAGAGAGAGAGAGAGACAGCAAGAGCAGGGGAGGGGCAGAGACAGAGGGAGACATGGACTCCGAAGCAGGCTCCAGGCTCTGAGCTGTCAGCACAGAGCCTGACGCAGGACTTGAACCCACAAGCCGTGAGATCATGACTGAGCCGAAGTCGGACGCTTAACCGACTGAGCCACCCAGGCGTCCCCTAGGAATTAATTCTTAATGTGCCCTTTGATGTTCTTGTTTTTTTTGTAAAGAACTCAGCCCCTGCAGAAGTGCCTGTGTTAGAGCCTGTGGGTCCCTGTGTTCTTTTGGCCAAGTACATCATTGGGGCGTGTGCAGACTTTTCCTCTGATTGATTCTTTCTGATAAAATGATCCAGGCAGCAGCAGAGACTGCTTATGACATGGTGTCTCCTGGGACCCTTTCTATCGAGCCCAAGAAGATCAAAAGGTTTCCTCATCACCGCCTAGCCCACCAGCCAGTGGACCTGCGGGAAGGTGTGGCCAAGGCCTACAGTGTTGTGAAAGAGGTGAGTGGTATTTGAGAGGATGAGGCGGAAGCAGCTGGCGTGCTTTCCTGGCTTTTGTCTAATGACCGTTCCATGGTTGGGATTTGTTCCTGAGAATCCCTGAGAGTGGACTTCGAATTGCTCCCAGTAGCGAGTGCAGATATCTGCATGAGGTCAGAGACTGGGGCCACGTAGTGATGGGCTCAGAAGAGGGGTCATGATCCAGAGGAAAGACCGATTCTCCTTACGTGCAGAAGCCGGCTGGGTCACGGAGACCAGTGCGTGCCCTCCCCAGCCGGCTGTGACACGGGAGTCACACTGCGCTGTAGTTGCTCAGCTTTGTTGAGAAGTGCAGCTTTTACAGCTTTTCAGGTGAGCCGCTCACTCTCGTCCTGATCCCGTGCCGCCACTGTCCTGAAGGCGGTACCTGGTTTTTTGTACACGTTTTTACAGTTTTATGATGTGTGTATTCCTAAGCAACACGTACTGTTGTTTATATTTTGAAAGTCGCCATAAATGGCATCACCGTGTATGTATCGCTGTGTAACAGCTGCCTTGCAAGATCGATCCATGTTGGTATGTGTACCTTCAATTTAAACTGTCTTACAGCATTTTACTGTATGACCGTATTTTCCTGTTGGTAGACAGTTGCCATTTTTTCCCCTAAAACACTGCTTTAGGAATGTTCATATAAACGTCCCTTTATTTGTGCAAGAGGTTATGTGTAGCTGTTCAAATCCTGACCCTTATTAAGTATTTGCCAAATTGCAGTTTAGTTGCGCCAGTGAATCCTGGTTCTTTATGGGCCTTGTTGGGGACATTCTTTTTAAAATTTTTTTTTTTTTCCAACGTTTTTATTTATTTTTAGGACAGAGAGAGACAGAGCATGAACGGGGGAGGGGCAGAGAGAGAGGGAGACACAGAATCGGTAACAGGCTCCAGGCTCTGAGCCATCAGCCCAGGGCCTGACGCGGGGCTCGAACTCACGGACCGCAAGATCGTGACCTGGCTGAAGTCGGACGCTTAACTGACTGCGCCACCCAGGCGCCCCAAGGGGACATTCTTTTTAATATGACATGAAGTTTGAGGTTGTTGTACTCATGATGCATATATTAGGATTTCATTAAAGATCTTTTTTTCCCATCATGTTCGGACGGGCACAGGTGCCTAGGACGGTCTTTTCCCTGACAAAGTAGCCTCTGTGGTCCCGAACAGTCGGATGACCACTGAGGTAGGGCCCCCAGGACATGTATTAGTGGGATAAATAAGACCACTTGCCTTTCTTAAGAGGAGATTCATTTGGGAGAATAGAGAGAATTACTGGTCAGACCTGTTCCTGTAGATATCAGGATGGGCTAGTTATCTAACATGTAGTCATGTTAGAAATCAGGTTTGTAAAAATGATTCTGGGGTTCAAGGCCTGGTGGGGGCCGTTGAAAGCCAGACGTAATGGCACTTGGATATGGGGCACTTTACAGTTTACACAAAGCTTGACCAACTTAATCTGTATTCATTAAAAAAAAATATTTATGTGCTTACTTTGTCCCAGCTGTATAGAGACTATCAAAGGTAGGTGGTGTTCCTTGCTCAGCCCTGAGGACCGGCTCTGTGGGAACAGCTCCCCAGTGGAACAGGGCAGGTCAGAGTGGGTCAGGATTGGAACCTGGGTGTTCGCTCTGCCTTGTCCTCTTCTTTCTCTCAAACTGTCAGGATGAGACTGGGGGAGGGAGGATGTGAACAGTGAGCACCCTGTAGACAGATCTCAATTCTGTGTTAAAAACTTTAAAAAATTTTTTTTTTTTTTTTAACATTTATTTTTGAGACAGAGAGAGACAGAGCATGAATGGGGGGAGGGCCAGAGAGAGAGGGAGACACAGAATCCGAAGCAGGCTCCAGGCTCTGAGCTGTCAGCACAGAGCCCGATGCGGGGCTCGAACTCACGGACCGTGAGATCGTGGCCTGAGCGAAGCCGGACGCTCAACCGACTGAGCCACCCAGGCGCCCCTAAAAACTTTTTAAATAGAGGCACCTACATGGTGATAAACATGTCTTTTCCCTTTTAGATGTTAGTAACTCAAAGATTGAGAGAAAACACCCCGCGTATTTCACAGAAAGGCTGCTCCTCTAGATCTGGGCTCTGCGCACCATAGCCTGTAGGGCAGATCTGGCCCCGGCCTGTTTTTGTGTGGACCTTGTAGCTCAGGGTTATTTTTACAATTTTGAAAGATCGTAAAAAGAAGACAAAAAGAAAAAGCATATACGGTAGAGACTGTGTGGCCCACAAACATTTGCCTTCTGGCCCTTTCCAGAGGAAGTCGGCCGACCCCGGCTTACGTAACTCCCCCTCGCAGGAGGCAGGTAGCTGTGATGAGGGCGGCGGTGGTGGTGGTGACCCGGAACACGCTTAGTGAATACGCGGTTCCTGCCGTGCCGGTGTCGTTAGGTGCATTGTGTCATTTAATCTCGACAGTCCCCACACTGTGGAAATTCCCCGTTGGAAGGACTTGGTGAAGGCAGCGCCTAAGTGCCGGAGCTGAGATGGAATTTACTTCTGTTGTCTCCACACTTGCTGGTGGGGCTTGCTGGGTGACGTCAGCTAGTACTGGAGGGGGAGCCGAGGGAGGAGGGGGGAGGTGGTGGGGCGAATGGATAAACTGAGCCTTTTCTCTCTTGTATGTACTAGATGGTTGTAAAAAATGGCACTTAGGTGGTTGGTTTTTTGTTTTTGTTTTTTCTTCTTCTGTACTTTCCCTGCTCCGGTGTTCCGTGCTTTTGCCTGCTGTGCCAGGTGGGAGGGATACTCTTGCTCACCTGTCAGAGTGATGGCAGGATTCTGGGTTAGGACAGCTTCCTTGATTTTCCTGGAGAGCCCGCAGGTCCTTGCGCTGTGCCCCTCCTGAAACGGCCACACCAGAACAGGGACTCGTGTCCCCTGCGGGGAGGGGTCCGGAGTTAGACAAGTGCTGGATTCAAAAGTCGTGCCTGAATTTTACCAGCTCGGTTTGATCAACACCTTTACATATTCAGCTTTAAAGGTTAACAGTCATTATTTTAATGTTACACAGTTAGAAGAGGAAAACATGCTACAGAAACTTTGTTTTTAATTATTAAACATGTTCCTGCTTTATGTTCTCAGATTTTTTTCTTTTTAATCTAGTAAGATGTTGTATTTCGCCTTTTCTCTTAAGTGCATGTTCCATAGTTATCTTTTCTAGTAAATAGATGATAATTTAAAACAAATTAAGTAATTTTCTGGAGTTTCGTAGAATTAGGTTTTCTTGTTACTTTTGGATCGGAAGAACTATCACCATATTTCTTTTGAGATTATGTTATTCTGGAAGCTTTGTTTGCTAAGTTTGATTTAACTAGAGTGATTAATAGTGCCAGGAGAGCTCCTCTTGGATCATTAAATATTTCTTTAAGCTTCCCTATGTGAAATTGTAGTTTAGCTGTATTTTTTACACACACGTGTCACAACAAAATACTAAGTCATAATAATTGCCTTTTATTTTCCCTTATAATTAGAATTTTGTCATTAATATAATTATCCTGGGTTATCTCAAAAGCACAGTGGGTATTTTTTTTTGGTCTAGTTGCAAGCATACTGTTGATGAACTCTGCTAAAGCTGTGTACTGCAGGCAAATTTAGAGATTTTTCTGACCTTCTCTCCTCTCTCCCTTTCAGGGACTTACAGACACGGCTCAGACTATTTACGAAACTGCAGCTCGAGAACACGAGAGCAGAGGGGTCACCGGCGCCGTGGGCGAGGTCCTGCGCCAGATTCCTCCCGCGGTGGTGAAGCCTCTGATCGTTGCCACAGAAGCAACATCAAATGTATTAGGTGGCATGAGAAACCAAATTAGACCAGATGTTCGGCAGGACGAGTCCCAGAAATGGCGCCACGGGGAAGACTGATTTTTCAGACGTGACTCTTCGTGAAGACAGCGCGGGGGGGGGAAACGATCATAGCGTCCCGTCGGCAGCTTCAGAGGGAACTCATTTAATTTTATTGTGCTCATCTCAGGAACAAAAGCGTTTCTCAGTTAAATAATTTAATATCAAAAAAACACGCAACCAAAAACTTGTGCCATTTCAGGGCTCGTTTGGTACTTGCCTGTAGAAATGTTTGGCGGCTGGTGTCAGAAGTCCTAAGCGTTGGCTGCTGAGTGAGTGAAACGCACGCTTTTATCGAAATGGCTACAATTCTCCTTGCTGGAGACGAGAGAGCATTGGAAGCCGCCTGTTACAGTGGAGCGTTCGGAAACGTGTCGCTTTGAAAGGACCATTTATGTTGCCCCGAGGAGCTGATTTTTCTCAAGGTTGAAAAAGAACCACAGCTTCGAAACTTTCATTGAGAACGAGAGACCGAGGCTCCAGGGAAAGCAAAGCAAATAGGATCTTAATATAAATATCACTGAGGAATAACTAACCTAGTCGGTTGGAGTTAGTGTCCGTGCACTTGAGAACACGATTTCCATTTCCTCAGAAAACCTTTCTGTGGGAGTTTGAGAACGTGAATGTCGCAGACGTGTTCTGTTGTGTTGCACTTTATCCTCTGTGTGTGTGTGCGTGTGCGTGTGCGTTTAGGTTAATACAAGTCGAGATACATTCGTTATGTAATTTACAGATTTTCACAAAATATAAAGAGGAGTAAACTGAGTGCTTTTGGCGAAGGAAGCTAATAACTCAAACGTAATTACTTCCATTTATTTGAAGTGTAAATGAAAATGTGCACTCTATAATGAACTGGGGCCCATATGATTGTTTATATGTTCAGTTTTCAGCAGGGATAGTGCAGGCTTGTTAGGACTGTGTGGAGAGGGAGATTGGAACTGATTTTTACTCTTGTGAAATTAACCAAAAATCCTCCAAATATGCCCTAGTCAGCTATTTCGAAGTACCGTTTTTACTTGGTTAACGATGTACGTTTTGATAACCTGTCAGGAATGAATAAAGTATTTTTATTTAAAGGTAAAATTGTTTTATGCTTCCATGAATACTTTGCTTGTCTTAGAGCATATTTATAGATGCAGTACTAGGATCCATCCCAAGATACCTGGGGCACTTTCTCAAAACTGATTTTGGTTCATAGCAAGGAAATCCTTACCTAGGAGTGAGAGGGAAGTTGTCCGCAAGAACTCCATTTTTGACTTTGGGTTGATCTGGCAGAAAGCAAGTGGGGGACTTTGTTTGTCCAGTGTTTACAGCTGCATGATGGGACTTCTCGTTTCCCAGAGTGGGGAGACTCACGTCTTTGATGTGAGTTTGGATTTCAGAACTGCTTGTCAGCCAGGGGTTTGAAAAATGATGTGGAATTGATTTCATTCTCTAGGTTCTCTGAACAAGAGGGCAACGTAGACCAAAAATCTGGGCCTTTAACATTGATGAAAGTTGTGTTAAACAGTGTTTAATTTTTATTCTGTTTTCCTTTGTACTGTTGAAAAAACTCAGAGAAGCGCCTGTTTAAGTGTCACGGAACTTTCTTTTACTTTGTGCCTGTAAAATGCAGTCTGTGTAAAATGGGATCCCGAGGAAACACTAGCCACACCCGTTCATCACCACGAAGCCTCAGTCTGCTTTGGGGGCACGTTCCGACCACCCTGCTCACCGACCCCACCATGTTCCAGGTTCCTTAAAACAGAGCATACTGTGTATGTTATCTGTGATGATGAATCAAACAAACTGGATTAAACTTAAAATATAAAAGAGCTTTACATTTTCCGTAGTTACACCGATTATTTAAGTTCAGTTAGATACAGCATAGGGAGAAATAATCATCCTCGTCTTTGTACTCTGAGTTGTAAATAGACTGGTTTTTCGACACGTTCGTTTTATAAATCCTGTTTTGACCTACATCTCCATAACGTAATCTCCACGGCCCGTGTCCTGTGCTCCTGCACCTGCTGTCCACAGCGTCTGTTTGGGAACCAGAAACTTGCCTCAGAAAGGTCCAGTTTCGAGGTTCTGTTCGTTGCCTCTTTAATCCAGATGGTCTTTACTGGAGATGTTTATGTAGGTCATATCTGAACCCTTCTGCATAATTAAGTATCTTCTATTTTTTCTCTTAAAAAAAACGTCTCTTCCAGCTTTTATGTCGCAATGACGCAGTAAGAAGATCGTTGGGCAGGGCCCTTGGGCTGCCAGGTCCGCACTCACTAGGCAGGTGACGTGGCCAAGACATTTGATTTCTCTTCAGTCTCAGCGTCTGCCTGTAAAGTAAGGGGGTTTTGGGTGACAGAGCCCAACAGAGATTTTTGGCTGATGAGGGCGTGTGTGTGCGCGCGCGTGTGTGTGTGCGCGTGTGTGTGAATGGCGGTGTGGGATGTGGCGCTTGGTAGAGGGCCCCAGTCCTGCGACACCTCGCGCTGATGGCGCCGAAGGAGAGCGCCCACAGCAGCCGTGGGCTCCCCTAGATCTGGGATCTCTCCGAGTGCTGCATTTGAGTGGCTGCGGTGGCCGCGTGGTTGACTTTTGAGGTGCGGTTCTGAACGGAGCAGACTGCGTCCGTCTGCTTGGTGCTGCCTGGCGGCCAAACGGGCATCTCCCCAAGGAGTCCAGCGAGCAAGCTTGACGGAGATCCCTCAGCGAGTCTTAGAATAGACCGTGTTACAGAGACGTGTGAGGACCACTCGATTAAGACCGCGAAGTCCATGGCGGTACCTTCTCTTGAACGGGGACTGACTTGCACTTCCAGTTGCCCTCTCTGTCCCCAGATTGCTGTTATTTACAAGTAGGACATCCACTTTAAGATTTGCCTTTTAGGATAGATGTAGTGTTTCTTCTAGAGCAGTAAACGTCCATTTTAGCCACGTTTGGGTCCAATTTGGATTCCCGCTTACGCGCACGTATTTAACATCGATGTTTTTATAACGCAAAACTCGCTTTAAGAAATCTTTCCAAGCAGCCGTGTGCCTAAAATGGCAAAAAATACTAAACACCAGTGTTTCCTGCCTCCTGCTGTGTCACTTTTCCAGTAAAGTCCTGTTTACTTTGTAATCGTCCCCTTTTGAAAGCTGCGTTCTGTAGGCTTGGGGCCTCTGTTCAGTTTCTAAGCCGTCTAGACGAGTCTGTCTCTCCCGTGCGGGGACCGCGTGTCCCGGCGTGTTTGGTTCGGGTTCTGTGCGCTGTGCATACTCTCACCAGAGCGCAGAGACAGCAGGCAGTGTCGGAGTCTGGCAGTTTGCAATGAGAACACTTGCGCTAACTGGCTTCAGGGTTGACAGCTGCGAAGAGCTTCGGGCCTCGACTTGAATCACTGGCCTTTGTTTCCATTTTCTTACACCTGCATTGGGCGTCTTCCCTCAGAATCGTGGGGAGGAAGTGTGGCAGGGCTGGTGTTCCGTGGTGAGCAGTTACTCTGTTTCCCCTCCCATCCTCTTAACCTGCTTAGGACCTTAGGGACCAGGTCGAGAAAGTTCTTTAAGCTCGAAAGGAAGGGACTGTCAAAAACTCGTGACCCTCTTTGTATCTGCAGGTGGATGAGACAAGCCAGCTGATATCAAGTAGAATAAATCAAATACGAATTTGTGAGTCTTAGGTGTAATGAGGAAGGCTATGTATATACCGTAGAGTTAATGTAGGGGAAAAAAATCTTTTGTCGAGCAAGCCCATTTCTGCTAGTCTCTTCATATAACAATAGCTGAGTGCTTTGATGCCAATGTAAGTCCCTATCGTCGGGGTCAGCCAGGCACACCACTCCCCTCAGTAGACTTCATAAACACAGCTGTCATCAGCCCGCTTATGCGGGGAGTATTTTCCTTTCATTGTAGTCTGCACACCAGAGGTAGAAAAGGTGTTCTAACACCATCACGATGGGCTGCTTTTGGGATGAGAAATTTGAGTGCCAACGATTCCCATTTCAAGATGTCAGCAGTTTTCAAAAACATTGGTGTTAGAGATCTTTGCCTCCTGGGCCAACCATGGGCATCTTGGTTTCGAGTGCCCCCTGCTGACAGTCAGGAGGTGGCAGGCGTGACGCTGGCTGGCTCCGTGACCTCTCTCCAGGGCAGTGCGTTGTTGACGTAGCAGCCCCCCCCCCCTTTAAGAAATGTGTTTATCTTGCTGTTCGACACGTATTTTGTATATTTGAAATGGCAGCTTCTAGTTTCTAGTTGGATTCGTCTTCTCTCGTTTCTATAGAACTCGCCGATCACCCAGGACCGGTTGCTTTTTGATGGTGGAATTTGGAAGGGGCTCCGGCTCTTCTGTGAATCCATCCCGACTTCAGAGATTGAATTTAATCTCACCACAATGTTGTGTGCTTGTTGCTAAGTTTCCTAGTTTCCCCTAAGGTAATTTTGGATGTGAGTACTTTAAGAATACCGATGCCGTATGAGTATTTTTGTGGAAATGTAACCTTTTGTCAGTGTGACTGTTGATAATATTATGAAATGAAGAGAACTCTTGAAGAAAATTAAAATATTTACTCTTTGGAGTTTGCTTTAAACACTATTGTCTTTCGCCAAGAACTGTTCCCAAAACCTGTATAAAATACGTTTGGGGGTGGGGTGTAGGTCTGTGTCAGATCCTGTTTACAAGAAATAGTGTTCCTATGATCTGGGTCCTCGCGATAGCAAATCGTGTATCCACCTGCTCTCAGATATGTAGGGCATGTAATTTTAAAATGTGCCACTCCTGCCCGCTTTAGGGCATAAATCACTCTATTATCCCTACAATGTGGACTTGTGGCGAACATACCTTGCTATTTTGGTCTTAGGGACCTAGTTAAATACTTGATAAATCTGTTCTATTTGGAGGAATATTTTTAGCTTTATAAAAGATATTTTAAAGAAACACTTTGATATGTTTATTTTTGACACACACACACACACACACACACACACACACACACACAGCACAAGCCAGGGAGGGGCAGAGAGAGAGGGAGACAGAATCTGAAGCAGGCTCCAGGCTCC